CGTAAACCGAGACGGAACCCTTTATAAGACATTCAAGCCTCAAAAAAAAACAAATCCTCCCCATTCCTTTCCCTAAACCCTAAACACTAAACCCTCAACCCTACACCCTAAACCCGAAATTAAAACCCTAAACCCTATACACTCTGAAACCCTAAACCCTATCAACTCTTATCCGAGATCGCGGCTCGGCTTCCCCATCGTCGTCCTGCGGCTCATCCTCCAGGGGCTCCTTGCAACCCCAAAGCACTCCTTAAAAGGAAGCCTTTACAGGGAACTCCCGAAAGTTGGAATATGGTTTCATGGTAGGATACTCTATAATTTACCATAGAAGGGTTAGGACAATCATATTCCAACTTTCTGGCTTTTACCATAAGGGGGGAGGAGCCCGGGGTTATGAGGGGCCCTTTAAGGGAAGCCTTACAGGAACCCTTAAAGGAGCCGTGGTTTTGGGAGCCCGGGGTTTTGGGAGCCCGGGGTTATGAGGGCCCTGTAAGGCATATATTGGCTTGTATACAGTTGCAGTTTCTTTACTTTAGAGGGATCTACCAAGGCGTGGCCTTTTGGGTTTGGGGGGGGGTTTAGGGTTTGGGTCTTAAGGTTTTGAAGCTTAGGGTTTAGGGTTTGAGGATGAAGATTTGGGTGTGCGTTTCAGGCTTTGTGTTGTGGGAGGACCATCAATGACCACAAACCGAAGTCCTCCAAGACAACCCTAAAGCCAAAAATTCGACACTCTAAACCCAGTTAAAGTTGGTAAAATGATCATATAAGTCGCTGTAGAGTCAGCATACCATCTAACACCGTAGGTGGTTTCTTATCATATGTAGAGCCTAATCCCTAAACTGTTGGTACTGGTAACAACCAAATACTACATGACTGCTCGTATGCAGAAGCCGTACCCTAAAGCCTACATCCCTAAACCCTTAACCACAAAACCCAAAACACTTCACTGTGAGCCTCATTTCTTTGAAGCTGCGTGCACTTCCAGGCCTGCTCGATGGCGAAGGTGGCCTTGCGAGTGGGCGACGCCTGATCCAGGTTTTTTTCGGTTTAGGGTTTACGGCTTAGGGGCTTTAGGGTTTAGGGGGTTTAGGGTTTAATGCGCTAAGGGGTTTAGAGTTTCTGTTTACAGGTGGTGGGGGGCTTGTTTGCTGATGCAACGGGCCCTTCCTGTTCTGGATCCTACTGCTTAAAGCAATACTGCTACGGATGTTTGTTTGGACAACCATGGCTGCTGTACCTCGGTCTTCCTCGAGATCAAAAATTGTCCGCATCAGCGTTTCTGATATTTACTTTCGATTTCTGATGCGCTGCACGTCTGCGAGCCTTGTGACGAGTCCGGTGCCAGCTACCTCAAACCAATGTCCATATACACTACTATTATGCAATTAAGCCCGCAAAACCATGGTCTTTTGGGACCTAATTCCATAAAAGTAGTATCTGTGGACCCTCCGGGACAGAAGCATCAAGCTTGCGATCGACCATCACGATAATGATGGCGACCACAACACATCTAAACGGAGAGTGAAAACAACGAAGAAGACTCTAAACCCTGAAACGCTAAACCCTCTTCGACTACGAGTTCGTGACTTCGACTGTGAGAAGTGCATGAACTGGGTTCTCGAACAACCTCAGCTTTACAGGAGCAGCATCGTCCTCATCAATCCTGCTAACTGCCTTGGCAACGGACAGAAATAGAAGAAAAAGAAGAGCAACGATGATTCAAATCTACTCATGCTGCTGCTGCTGCTGCTGCTGCTGCTGCTGCTTCGTCGTCCTCTTGTACAAATGACACTTCTGAAGTCATGTCTACTGCATGGACCGGGCTAGGCCCGCGTGTAGAACGCAGTCAGTGGCATACATCCAAGGCAAACGTCCAAAAAGGACAAGCGCATCACGTCGCAAGGCCCCGAGCAGATGCAGCAACAGGTGGCCTCCCCTTCCAGCGATGCCACACGCATGCAGAACGCCACGGTCCAAGAAACAAACTTGAACGTTTTTGCGGATGCACGCGCTGGCTGCATGCCCCCAGCGGACACATTGGCACATTGCTCCGCTGTCATACGCCACGGCCACATGCGCGTTGGCCTGAAAGGCATCCAGCAACTACTGGAATAGCAAAGCAGCCCCACACCCGGCCAGCGGTGTGCGGAGAGACAAGATGCGGCTCTCGTCTCCTCTGGGTAAGGCTGACAACACGCACAATCTGAACAATCTCAACATGCACATTGAGCAAAACTCGGAATGCATGCATGTTCAAGCCACTACCACTCCCACCATCAACTGTGATGACCGCCGCCACCACCCCCGTCACCGTCACTACCACGACCACTGCCCCTTCCAGCATCACTACCAACATGATCACTACGACTACATGAGCCACATGGTCGGCTGAGAAGACCTGTCCGCGTACCCGGGAGGCCCGACTGGATACCACGGAAAGTCTCCATAGTAGCTCCTTCTTATGGTTTAACCAGTTCTATATGTAGGACCCTGTAAGGTAACCTAAGAAGGGAACTGCAATGGAGACCATAGGCAGGCCACCTCAGGGCCTGCAAGGCAAGTAGCACTGGGATTTTTCTGCGGTCGAACACGCGTCGTAGGGTTTAGGGCTGCTGTAAGTGTGACAAGTATTCTTGTAAGCATCTGGGTTTAGGACAGTAGCAAATGGTAACTTTAAATCGTATCTTGAGAAGTATAGAGTATAACGCGAATCGGACCCGGAAGACCCGTGGCCTTCTCGCCTCCGATGCCAAACAAAACACTCGATACATGCACTGCCTATCTGCAACCAGGGGACACTTCAGCAGACTTGCACTGAGCCCTAGATCATAATGGTTGCCGCGGCGCCTGTGGCCTCTACCACGTTCAGCGCTCAATCACCACCACCCACCACCGCCACCACCCGCCAGCACACACAACCATCCGCCACCCACCACCAACTACCACCCACCACCGCCACCGCCCACGACACTGACACAACCCGATAGACCGATCACCACAGCACCGGAAAATCGGAATACCTGCGGGTTTTAGGGTTCAGGCTTTCAGGCTCAGGGTTTAGGGCTTTAGGTTCAGGGTTAAGGGTGTTAGGTTCAGGGTTTTAGCGGCCCAAATTCATAAACCCTCAACTCCCAGAGCCCCAAGTCGCTAAACCGCAAACCACTGCACACCCTCCAAATAGCTCAGAACCTCAGGGCCTTCATCTCCGGGACCACGCCAGTCACACTTTCCGTGTCCTGCAGGAAATAAAGTAGGGTTGGGATTTGGGATTTGGGGTTTGGGGTTCGGAGTTTAGGGTTTAGAAGGGTTGCTATAGATACTTGCTTCACTGCCGTTCGTGGCCGATGATGAGTCTATGACGCAGAGAAACTGCATCAATCGGCCTCTCCAGCTTCTACGGCAGGGCCGAAACACCCCACCTGTTCAGTCATAAAGCGCCGCAAGATCATCTCGTAAGGCTTCTAATGGTATAAGAACTGCTTGGTCCTGAACCCTAAGCTCGAAACACCTAAACCCTAAACCCAAATCCAAAAATCACTCTTCTTGGCTCCTGGAAACCCTCAACCCCGAACCCTAAACCCTAAACCCTCAAAGCCTAAACCCCAAAACTCCAGGCCCTAAACCCTCCACCCCAAATCAGACAACTGAAAGGCCGCTTCTTTTGCACGAGGTCGCATCTTCGCTGCTCCATGGGCCTGCGCCACAGAACTCAGGGGGGTTTAGGGCATTTTGAGATTAGAAGCTTAAGTTTAGGGTTTAGGGTTTTGAAGGTTAGCTTTAGGGTTTAGTTTAAGGGTTAAGGTTTAGGGATGTTTAGGCGCTAGCTCTGTTACGACTCCTAGCTTTCCTGCTATGCCGGCCCTCGCCGGCTCCAGTACAAAGCTTTTGCAGGGTCTTGGTACTGGCACGGTTGAAAAGGCCACTGTTGGCTTTGAGAGGCTCTTGAGGGTTCCGACACTAAAATTCACGGTCCTGGTTGTTATGATTTTTTGCTTCATGGCTGTGGGGTTCTGTGAGGTTATGCAGAGCTTCTTGTTCCAGGCTTGGTGAGTTTGTTTTCAAAGGCGTCAGGCAGATCGAAACGACGTGCAAATCACCCCGGACGCAAGACTCATGCTGAGATGGATGCCGAATGTCCATCTCTCACCTAGGACCTTAATTAAGAGCCTTACACCCTCAGCGGGCCCACGACTAAACGAGGTCCGAAAAGATGGAACCATCCCAAAGCCGACGGGGTCTCAAAGAACGGCACGGAGCAGCAGATAGCTTATTTTCCGTGCGCGCGATCTCGCGGAGCTTGCATCGATGGATGTATCTGTCTTGAATTTCTGGGGGTCCTGGGACTGATGCTGCCGTGGGTAACCTTTCGAAAAGATCTGAAATGAGAAGCCAGGAAGCTACAAGACTTACCTTCGGTTAGTAGGGAATGGAGGAATGGGGTACAATTACAACTACTATTACTAACATTCCTCCATTATGCCGAGTTTAGACTTAGAGCTTATAGCTTGGGTGTTGGGTTCCGAACCAAACCCGCAGGCACAGAGTTCCGAGCAAGTTATGCGGACAAGGCTTACATGTGGGTGGCTGTCAAAATTATGGTCCCTTTTTGGGTCCTTATCAAAGTACGGCACCTATTGTTTAGGGTACCCAAAATGGGATCCTAATTTTGACAACTACCCATGTGCAGTTTGAGGCACAGCCTCTTGACTCCACGACCTCCATCAACCCAGTCTTACCATGGCAACCTTCATGGTGCTTCGTCAGGCGTTCCTGAGGATTAGGCTTGGGGGTTTGGTCTGTAGGGTTAGGATGGTTTAGGGATCCTACTACTTGGGGTCGGTATTGGGGTGCACTCTTGTCTAGACCTCTCACGGGCTCTGCCCAGCTCCATCCCTAGACAGACGGAGAGAAACGTAGCAAGAGTGACCTAGCCAGGTTTGTCAACTAATATAGCTGGGGTGGCGTAGTTTATCCATTATGAACAGAACCCCCATCGACGCTCAGTCGGCGTGCTTCTTGGTGACCTTCCACTCACTAGGTTGTGAGTCTTGAAGTTGCTTCACCAGCGACCTGAGCTTGGCACCTACAATAGGGGCTTTTCTAGACACAAGAGTAATCTAGGACTAAAACGGGTGCACTTTTTGGGTTAAAGGGGGTTATAAGAGAAGCCAAACTCTAAAAAAGGGAATAAGGGCCTACTTTGGGTCCTAGTTTCTTTGTGGGATCCTGATGATGAGGATCCTACAAATTGATCAGCTTGGGCTCCACCATTTTTGCCGGTCGTGGCTGAGAGTTGGCGCACAGATTTGCTCTTGGAGTTTGGGACAGTTCAGCCCACGATTTAGGGTAGCAGCGTTTGTATAGGGCTCAGACTTTCGTCTGCATGAGAATTATTTAGGGTCTATGATAAGTACCGTAGAAGCTTAGTTACTTAAGGCTACGGTACCAGGCTCACATAGCGACGGTGACCAAGAGGTAACCGCTTTCTCCGGGGCAGATACGGAGTGTTGAGACTGGCCGGCACAGTGTCTTTGGAGCTTCTATCCCAGAGGGTCCTTTGTGGAATAGGGCCCCAGAAGACCATCGCCCATTATAACCCTAAACCCTATAACCCTAAACCATTATGGCTTTGGGGACCTAATTCCGTAATGGTAGTATATATGGACCCTCTGGGCATTGGCCCTCGTCTTCACACACCCGCCATGTTGCAACATCCGGTGCTGTTTAGGGTTTAGGGTTTAAGTTTAAGGTTACCCAACCCTTAACCCTATGTATAAGAGCTCTGGCAACACCACACAACGACTCTTCAGACCCGTAGTGGAACCCTGTATTTCAGCCAAAGGTCTTGGTCAGGACGAGCCAAAGCACGCCCAGCACAGCACACCTTGGTGCGTGCGTCGGGGGTGAGTTCGCCCGCTGTAAGGATACTATAAAGGGTCCTCTAAGGGTTCCTTCGTGGTTCAATACAGGTCTTCTAGGAGCCTGAATAAGCTGCTGCCCCCCATACAGTAACAGTCTCTAAGAGGGCAATAACTAGTTACTGAGTGGGGGCAACCCAACGGCATAATTCTACTGATCATCCCTGGCTGTTGGCCTGCCTTCCTCTGACGCATCGTGTAGCTCAGGCCACAGCCGGCTTGGTAGTCGTTCAAACTCGTCTTCCCAAAAGTGCCATAACATGAGGTCAAACCCTCAACCCTAATCCCTAAACCCTATCCCAAGGAGTCCTGGGTACCCGAATAGTAGGGTTTTTGTCCCGCAAAAATCCATACTCCGAGTGGTTTTTGGACCTAGAAACCCTACTATTTCTTGGACCCTTGGGGTATGATTCCTACACGCTAAACCAAAGCCCTTCAACCCCTTCTTTATGGCTTCAGGATCACAGAGTCTACGGCTTCTTGAAGGTACAATCGACGGACTTGAAGATTCGACATCTCAGATTTATGTTTGGCTATAACTAACTAGTATGGCTTGAAACGGCTGCTTTGGGGAAGGTTGGATTGGATATAAAGACTGGGTTGGAGTCTGTAAGAGATTGTATAGCGCTTATAACTTCATTGGGCTGTGGCATGGCCCCACGCGGGAGTTTTGATACGATTCGACAGTTTATGTGGAAACTCACGACTTGAACAGCAAATATGCCTGAGTTCTCTAGCTTCCCCAGAAACCCCATTTTCAATCTCGGTACCATTTCGGAGTATTCCGTTTCACTTTGGTGCCGCCACAGCCACAGTGCCGTCACCACGTAGAAACCGTCGTACTGATAGCTGCAGCCGTCGCCTTTGCAGGAGAGGGCCTCGGATTCAGGAGGAGTTTAGTTGGAGGATCGTGGGACTTAGTAGCTACGGTTTTCAGTACCTTAACTGGGGTAGTTATAAGTACTTATTAGTACAGGTACCTTAGTTATAACCCTAGATACTAAGTCCCATGACCCTTTAAGTAGTTGGGGCGCAGTTCCAGGTCTAAGGTCATTAATGGTCATTACCAAGACCCACGACCTCCCGCTTAACATCGCCCACCTGTCCGTTGATATGGAATTTGAAGCTCGCTGGGCCCCTGGCATCCACCAGGAAGAAGGCGGCGGTGGGGGGCCAGCGGCCTCCTAAGTTCCCCATGGTGTTGAGCAGGGTCATGTAGGTACCTGGAGTGGGTTGGGGGCCTTCTTTCGGTTTTGGAGTGCCAGGAGTTGAGGGCTTCAGGCTTTTAGGGCTTAATTACCGTCTTTTTGTGAGTTTTGCTCAAAAGGCTCGAGAGGGCTTCGAGATAAAAACCGCGTGAAGCTGAGTTGAAAAGGTCAGGAGGTTTGTGGGATCTTTTGGCCTTTCGGGCATATTGCGTCTCAGGCATGACAGAGTTGAAGTTTGGTGGGTTCGCATTGGGATTTGAGGGGCCGGGGATCCAACAACGACGGAGTGGCGTCATGTGCACAGTGGGACAGCTTTCTCAGAGGATCCATGTACAGAGCACAAAGATGGGGCTATGTCACCCGAAAGACCTCACCGATGATGGCTATGCAGCCGATGCCAATTTATTGCGATAGTCTCCTATCCCTCGGATCGGAATTCGGGGCGATGTCTTCGGTCGCGTGTTGCATTTGACCGTTGATGATCCCAGGCACTGCGTTCAAAATGATGGGGCGAGTTCGATCCGGCCCTAACCCCAACCCCCTTAGCAACTTGACTTTCTCTGGACTGTTCTTGGATGCCTGGGAATTGTGACTTTCGCTATGTCCCACGTGCAAAATATGCAGCATGTTACCCCTAAGCCCTAGCCTCTTTAGATAGCGTTTATGCTGTAGAGACTTCCAAAGCTCGAGGTCTTAAAGACCTTGACGCTGCTAAGCTTCTTAGGCCATGCGCAAACTAGAGCCCCTAAAAACTACGGTGCCTTAACCCACACAGTAGTGGTACCGTGGTACACAAGGTCAAGATTTCACTCCAAAGACATATGAGGGCTTGTCAGAGCTTATTCTTTCAAGGCCTGGTCATGGATGCTCTTTTCGTATTTGGAGGGGGGAGTTGGTCCTATCGCTCTACAGTCTGGTCAACTTTTCCCGTGGGGGAAGCACTTTACTCTAGATTCACAATAGCAGTAGCACAGGTAGTAAAGCAAAGATAGCGATAGTCTATAATGGTAATAGTAATGATCACTACTATAGTAGTGAGATCAGCAGTAGCAATGATGATTCCATCAGATGAGGCAGTGGGTCAAACCACAATCTGGTGGGTATCGATGCGGGTATCGACTGGGTATGCCTAGCCACATATCACACGGAAAATTCAGGCACAAATGTGGCGGCAGCACTGAAATTTCACAACAGATGATCATCGTTGATCGTATCGATTTTTTTAATGGCTGTTCGCAGGTATTGTTCAAATCTGGCACACCATGGCCACCCTACTCTTAACTACAAGTACGGAAGTTTTGGCGGATGCGCCTGTGTAGTTCTCAAGGAAGGTTTCGGGATGTAGGCCCGTTTTCGGGTTTGATGAAACGGGAGTTTAATAAACCCACACATGCAGCTTAATGCTGTGCTTGCTTTCCCAGAACCCCCGAGAGGATCCAGAAAATAGAACCACTAACCTGGGACCCTATACTACTAAAAGCAACTGTATAGGGACCCCCTTATAGAATCTACTTCGGGTGTCGATGGCAGGGAAGGGGATGCTCTCAAACACTGAACCCTGAACAAATGCCCACCCTAACACCCTCAATCCCTAAGCTCTATCTGAACCCAAAAAGCATGTACAATCACAGCCTTGAATAAGGTCTTGGGCCATTATGTGACCTATTTTGCGGGGATTTAGGTAAAAAAATACAAAAAACAAGCTATGTGCCGAGGCAGACACCGCCCAGCGTTGGATCGCTCACCTCGATTTTCTGTGGGGAAATTCAAAGTGCCAAAGCGTCACCTTTGTAATTTGGGATTCTCTACGGCATCTACCTGAGTCGCACATGGTTCTGCAACGATCCGAAATTTCATGCTCAGGATTTGGGGGTTTGAGGCGTTGTGGGGTTCAGGGTTTTGCGGAGCATCTCAGTGTGTCTGCAACAACTTTGCAGGATGCTCATAAAACTCTTGCAGGGGTGTTAGGGTGCTGCGCCTTGATGGCAAGTTTATACGGGGTTCTTGAAGTTAGGAGTGACTTGCTTCGGCATGCATGTTACTGCTCCGACTCCTCAGTGTCTATGGCCATGGTCCCTCATTTTCTGAAAGCAGCTTTTTCGAATTCATGCAGACTCCTGAGGAATAAAGCTCCTCCAGTCCCAGAGGTTTTGGTTTGGAGCATTCATGGTTTGCTGGTTATGGGTTCGTGGTCTTGGGGCTTTGGGTTCCCGAATAAGGACTATGCGGCTAGGGGCTTGATGCGCCACAGCCTCCCAAGAATCTATGGATTATTGAACCGTATGTCCAGGTATGGATTAGAGCGGTGGTCATGCAAACAGTGTGTATGTATGTATGTATGCACGGTATGGTACGGTATGGTACGGTATGGTATGGAATATATGTATGTATGTATGTTTGTGTATTGTTTGAATGTATGTAGCTGTAACTATGTAGGTAGATATGTAGGTAGGTCGGTAGGCAGGTAGGTCTGTCTCTGTCTGTCTGTCTGTCTGCCTGTCTGTCTCTGTCTGTATACGTATGTATGTATGCATGTGGATGGAATACATGTAGGTGTGTTTATGTGCATGCATATATGTACATACATGCATATGTACATATATGTAAAGGCTACCACTATGGCATGAGTTTCCAAGAGCCAGAACCGGGATGCTCTTTTGGCGGCAGAGGCTCATAATAGCAGCACATAGAACCCTAAACAATAGAATCCGCACGAGGACCCTTACCCAATGTATCCGTATGGTAAGAAGCCTTCTATGGACCAGCTAGACAATTTGCCAAGTCACGTGGGCAAAGAAGGCCATCTGCGACACAAACATCAGCTCTGAAGCTGTCGCAGCACCTGTGGGGATTTCTGAAACTTAAAAGGAATTTCTTAGATTTCTGATAAGATCGCCTGGTCATCGCCCTCAACTTCTTGACTATGTTTACTGGTACGGTGTCTTAGAACAAGTGGCTGCTATAACAAGGCGCCTACTACTTGGAGTCGACTTTGGGGTTCCTTGGGGTTCCTCATCTAAAGGGAACTCCAGAAAGTTGGAATATGGTTTCATGGTAGGATCCCCTACAATTTACCATAGAAGGGTTAGGATAATCATATTCCAACTTTCTGGCTTTTACCCTATTCTGCAGTTCCCAGCTATGAAGTTGAAACGTAAACCTACGCAGTGCCTACATGTTCGTGGGGGCGACACAACTTCAAAGTCAGTGCAGCAGTGCAGCATGCTGTCTTTACTCGGAAATGTACCTGTGCTCCTGGACGAAGCGCAGAAAACGGAAAAAACAAAACGATGACCCTGTTAACTAATCGAAACCCTAAACCCTAAACCCTAAACCCTAAAACCCTAAACCCTGAACCCTAAACCCTAAACCCTAAAACCCTAAAACCCTAAACCCTGAAGCTCTGAACCCCGCAACCCCCAGATCTTGAAGCCACGTCACCCACAAGGCTTCAGCGTCTTAGCCCTTAAACGTTGAACCCTACTTGGGAGTTCCGAAAATAGGGGACCCCATTATAGTACCCTAAATAGTAGGATCCTTATTGTTAAGAACCCCCAAATAAGGTAACCCCCTAATTTTCGGAAACTCCCGTGTATAGTAATCAACAAGCTGTTGGGGTTATACTACGATAAACATGAGACATTATAGCTTCCTAGCTCTGATTTAAATAAGGCTTCTCCTAAAACTGCCAAGCCTGCGATCGTAAGCACCAGCAAGGTGTAGAAGACCCAGGGGATGGGAGTCACCTGGCTCCGGGACTTACATACGGGCCTTATGCTATAATTGCCCCTACATTAGCGTTGGTGCCTGGATTCTCGGTTTTACCAGAGTTGCGTTCAAGCTGCCCTACACTAAACTTGAACTCCTGAACCTGCGCTGCAGTCAGTGGAAGGCGGTTCGGGCGGCAGCCCTCACGATGCAAACCCTCTCAGCCCTAAGCCCTAAGGATCCTCAACCTCGCTATAGCAGACCCCAAACCTTGAACCCTGAACCCCAAATCCGAAACACGGGGTCCGGAGTCGGTGGAACTCGGAACCCTTACCCCCAATCCGGGTTGGCCAAGAAAGAGGTCCAAACCCGAAGCTTCCTTCCGTCTTCTGAAAAGGGTTTAAGATTTAGGGTCTGGATCGTCATTAGGATTCGATAAAGGCTACGTATCCGAAGATGCTGTTTCTTCGTATTTTCAATCTGCTGAAGCCTGTTAGTATTCTAGTACCCTTTCAAGAAGCCAGTAAGCCACAGGCGCCATCATAGCCTTATATGTGTTTATATACACCTAAAACATATACATACATGTGTGCATGCATGCATATGCATATGTATATATATATATATATGGTAACAAAGCGTGCGATTTGCGGCTGCGCGTTCAAAATGTGGGGTTTAGGGTTTCCAGCCATGCGGTTTGAATAGTTTGCACCTGAGTGTGATTAGTTTGGGGGTTGGGGGATTAGTTTTGGGTTTGGGGATTATACTCTTCCATACTTTAAATCTTGTCTCAACACTCCGGAAGCATATCACCATTGTTGCAGGCCCATTTATTACATCAAAGACGGACCGACTCAAACCCAAACCCTAAGCCCCATCTTGGGCCCAGCGGCCGAGGGCGGCGTGTAGAAAGCCAAGGCCGCTGTCACAGGACCCGTTAGGACCCGCAGTGGATAAACCTCTGCTCGGGGGCTGCTTTGACTTGGCAGGTGCGGTTACTGAATTGTTGTGGGGGTTACGAGTAGGTAGGATGAACCGTGTGCGTTTGCAGTTCATAAGGTTGCTATGAGGGATCTATTGGGTTTCCGCAAGCTTAAGGTGTGGGATTTGGCATTCACGGCTGTAGAGCTTCAGGCTTTGAGGAGCCCGGCGGGAAAAGCAGAAAACTCTGCACCTAAACCCCAAACTCTGAGGCCCTAAACTCCAAACCCCAAGTGTCCCAGCCGGGGGGCTGTGATGGCCAACTTCAGTGGGTTGGACCTTGGCTCTATCTGCGCATTTTCGGGATGCATACGATGTTCTCCCGACCTCTATGGTACCTGACTGCCCACAGGACCTAGTCAGCGAATTGCTGCGGAAGGTTGGCTGGGAGGGACGCAGATGGGGATGTAGAGATAAAAATCCACTCATCTACCTGAAAACTGTGAGGGTTATGGTATATTCTAACCTAGCTATGGAGGATTAGGATTTTGTCCATCAGCAGTCTGGTCTCTGACGTCAACTCGAGGAGACAGGCTCATGGTTCTTAAAATACACCGGCCCGAACCCGCAAACCCTAAATCCCCATGCCTAACCCTAGACCTCAAAAGCCAAACCTCTAAACCCTCCCCAAACCCCAAGCCCGCGGACGGTTGCGGTCTGGATGCCCACCCGTCCAACTCGAGGCCAGCAGGGGCAGAAGGATATACATCGGCATCAGCAGCGAGGTGACCTACGGCTGCGTTTAGGGCTTAGGGTGTACTATGGGCATGTTAAGGTATAACTATACCGGGAACCCTCACGAATAGGATGTGCAATTACTGCAGGCGTCCGTCTTTAGATGTTGTTAAGCTCTGTTGGGCTTGAGGCTGCGGGGTGGGTATCTGGGGTAGACTTGTGGCTCTTAGAAGGTACGGGCTCAGTGCTGGCCAAGAGGCATAGGCGATGTGCTCCTTGGGAATGCCATACCTGAGGCTCACGTCAATGCTACAACTGGACAAAACTGTACAATCCCTTAACACGAGACTCTGACGACCAGCACGGTAAACACATATGCTTCGAGATCTATAATGATTTAGAGTCAGACGTGCTTGGTTCTAAAAGGCGTTCAATTCCAAACCTTGCCCAAACAGGGGCCGCCACGCTGAGAGAAGGTACCGTGAAATGTGCTTTAACACCCCGAAAACCACCGCAACGCGGCCCATTGTCAGAACCTGCCCTGGAAACACTAACACGATTGAAAACCCCGTGTCCCCCACGCCTTCTCCCCGCCTACAGTAGCCCCTACATTGTCCAAGGCACTCTTGAAACTTCAGCGGCGCGACACTTTCGCAGACTGCGAAAGGTGCCTTTGGCGTTCTCCGGAAGACCCCCCTGAACTGTTGAAATTTGGAGCTACTCGTGCAGGCCTGAGGCTTACAGAAATGAAGAGAGGGGCAAGCTTGGGTCCTGGGGGCAGAAGGATTTGGAGCAAATGGTCTGAGGCTTAGAAGCGCACGAGAAAAGTGTGAAGCAGTGAGCTTCCAAAGCACCGGGGTCAGCACTTGAAGGGTTACCATCGGCTACTAAGCCACTATGTTTTTTGCAAGTAGGTGGCCTTACTCGGCCTAACTACCACTCGGATAGTTACGGGATCACAGGTTTGGGATTGTGAAGGCTGGGACTTTTGGCTTGGGGTTGATCGTGGAACATGAGACGGTGTTCAAGGGCAGCCGGTTTAAGGGGAAGGAAATGCCATCGAGGGATTCCAGAGACTAGACCCAAGAGTAACATAGGAATAAAAAGGGTGTCTTCTTTGGGGCTCTACTCTGGGTCGTAGGAGCAGTAAAGCTTCAAGCCGTCAATCTACGAAACCGGAAAGCCATCTCCTTGAAGCCTTCTCCACTCCCTGGACGTAAAGAAACAAGCCCGATATCATGACAGGTACATATATATATATATACACACATATAGGCACAGCACACTCCAAACCCCTCCCTCCGAATAGCAAACTTAGAGTCTGAGGAACGCCTCTGAAACGCCAAATCGTGAGTTCAAAACACGAACCTCCATTTTAGTGAAACCTTAGCATAATGAAGGTTTGGGGGTCGATTATAGTATAACTATGTGGGGACTTTAAGGGGACACGATTACTACTTAATTATGAAGGTTTGGGGGTCGATTATAGCAGTTAGTATATACTTTCATGGGCACTTTAAGGGGATATGAGTACTAGTTACTACTTATGATTCCGACCACTTCATTGGCGGCACGCCTTCCATGTCACCAAGATGACGAAGAGGGTGCGGACGTGTTTCAGCTCAATCATGTGGAGCATCCTGAGACACCAGAGATGACGACATGGAGTTGTTCGTCTAGGTGTTGAGGCACCTGAAGCTGAATCTTACTATTCCGAAAGACAAGATCCCAACACGGGAATCCCATCTGCTGGACCTAGACAGCTAGTGCAGTGATTTCTTTGGTATTTACGCAACCAGTTAGGTGGAAAATCAAAGAGTGCACATATTCGGAATTCACAGTGTCTTGCTGCCGCGAGGACACTGACCATAAGACGTCACGATGCCCTCGGGTTCCTCCTTGCACAGTGGCTCAGTTGAGGCTTAGGTGGTAATCTTACGGGCTACGTGCACGGTTCCATGGAAGACGTCGGAAAACTACTCCGCACTGTACCAGCTCGAACATCAGGCCGGACTTTCGATTCTGGCTTTTGTTCTTGGAGTTCAGGTGTGCTTGCAGAACTTGGAGGTTCATGAGCATTCGAATCGATTGTGATCCAACTACAGCTGTCCACTCTCCCAAGACACTTGAAGACCTCCGAAGCCCGCAAGCCTGAAAAGCCTGAACGATGAGACGTCCGTAATTCGCTGCTATAGGGGCCTGAATAATCAGAATAGGGTTTTGGGGTGCATGCGGACAGAAGTCTGGGGCGGGTACAGCTGGGGATGTCTTGTGCATCTTTCCATCATCTAGCTTCACTTTGAGCTAGGCCTCCTAAGTAAGCATACTCTACTACACTTATAATAAGGAACCCCCAAAATAGTATAGGTAGTAAATAAAGCCCATATGGGTGGTTGTCAAAATTTGGATCCCGAATATAATACGGCACCTCATGTTTAGGGTACCCCTACAGGGGCAATGATTTTGCTACTAGGGTCGGGCGGGCCAGAGCTGAGGGCCGGGGCCTGGCTTTAGGGCCGTTCGTGTTTTAGGACTCTGGCAAGTGTCGCATACTGCAATGTACGATTGCTATGCGTTGCTATGCTATACTATACTATACCATACCATAATGTAAAATGTTGTCTCAGCATGTGATATGCAAATTAGAGTGTAATCGAGGAGTTCGGAGTTGGGAGTGCAGCAAGCTCTTGAACTTCCAATGCGAAGTGCTTTGAAGGGCAGTTTAGCATAAAGGAAATAACGGCCTGGAAAGGCTCTGAAGCCTGAACCAAGGTTTAGGGAATAAAGGTCAGATCTCTTGAGCTCCAGCCGTTCGGTGTTGAGTGCCACAGGACCCTGCGCAGAAACCTGAAAGACTCGAGCATTAAAAAACACGTACTCCAAGCTCAAGGCCGCGCATGAAAGCCCGGCTGCCCCGGAAAACCTCAAAAACACATGGGCATATCCTCGGCCGGCAAGGGCTTCTCCTCAGCTCATGAATCTCATAGGCTTTATTGTGATTCGAAAGCTGTGTTCCTTTGTTAAAGGGTAGTGGGCTCTATGGGAACACGCGACAAGGCTGTTCAGGTAGGTGGAGATTCCCGGAAGCCCTTACCCTTCCCGGGCACCCAAAAAGCCCTAAGCCGTAAGTGCCCAACAGGGATATGAACAATGACACCCTTGAAAAGGCACTATCCTGACCCATGTGTCTTTTCGCGCCGGGGCTCTATGTCTAAAGCCCGTGTTGTCATGCTTACAAGCCTCAACCCTTGGGTTTATATGTGTCACAATCTGGTCTTTCATCAAGACACATGCGGGAAATCTTGTGTAAGGAGCGGTAGGTGTAAGATGAGTCTGAGGAGCCCATAATTAATTGGAGGACTAGCGTGGGTCTCATGTCTATTTTCTGAAGCTCCGAACAAACAAGCAGTGGCCTCAACAAATTTGACCCAACTGAGCCCCAAGCCCCAAGCCTGCAAGCCTTAAACCCCTCAACCCTAAAACCCTAAAGCTCAAGCGGCTCTTGTTCCCTACTGAATATAAGGGGGCTCGGGGGAACGAATACAGCGGCCGCAAGACTTCGATGAGGGTTTTGGGGTGGATTAAAGTAGAATTCCGACAAAAAGTGGAATGTTAAGAAATCAGGAGGAAACACCTCATGATTCACTTCCACATGACTGCTTTATGGATGATACCCTGTGAACCCTTACACTCGGCAGATACTCTCTTTCAAAGGTACTTTCTCCATCGCCTCGACTCACACGACCATTCCAAACCTTCAGCCTGAACGCATGAACCACTGTTTCATTTTTGGGGCTGTAGGGTGTAGGGCTTACGTGACCTGCCCACTAAGCTTTCTGGCGACACTGGTTCAAGCGCAACAAAGGGGCCTGAATAATTAGACTAGCGTTTAGATAATAAGGAACCCCCAAGGTAGTATTGGTATTTATTTAGGTCCCGATAGTATTGCAGTCCCGGCTCTGTCTTTCCGACGGCGACTAGGAAAGTCACGACCAGGAAGAAGATTCCATTCCCAAACCTCGCTGGCGCCGGCCCGCAAATCCCAGTATAGGGTTTACTTACCTTTGGTTAGTGGGGAACGGGGAACCATTCTTCCAAAATCAAAGGGAAATTTAGAGCTTAGGATTTCAGGTTTACTCCTTCAAAGCTTTCAAGACGGCACTGCACTTGGTTGTTGCTGTCGAACAACCTCTAGTCACGGCACTTCTCAAATTCTCACTGTACTTAGAACTTCCCTGTATGAAGCCCATTCTTGTAAAGTCGCTTTGGGCGGGCATCCTGGTATTAGCTTCGAGCCTCCGGGGCTCAAAGCTCCTACCGAGACGGATAAACGCAAGGCTCCGAACACCTTGCACCCGAAACCACGAGCAATGGGTCCTGGGCCCGAGGTACTAACCCGAACCCTTAAACCCTAAACCTTAGTAAGCCCCAGACCCTACCAATATGACCCGACCTTTAGGATCGTGGGACTTAGTAACTAAGGTGCCTTAATTGGGGTTATAAGTCGTACTTATGAGTACAGTTACCTTAGTCATAACCCTAGTTACTAAGTCCCATGACCCTTTAACCCCTTTATCAAGTCCTACTTATGGGTGTTAAGACCCCCTACCCCCCTCCGTATCTCCCTTGTTGGGTCCCTATGATCGCAGCAAGACGGAGATCAGCGCATTTGGGTTTTACTTAGAGGGTCATGGGACGTAGTAACTTAAGGGGTTCCTTAAAGGCGTCCCTAAAGGCTCTATAAGGGTTCTATAAGAGGGTTGGGGCTTGTTAAAGGGTCATGGGACTTAGTAACTCGGGTTAAAATTGAGGTATACTTATACGTACTTATAACCCCAGTCAATGTACTTGTAACCTTACTTGCTAAGCCCCACGATCCTCCAAGTAGGACATCTCTGTGACACCGAACCCCTTGAATGAAGGAATTCAGTACCTCTTGGTTAGGGCAATGTTCCTTAAAGAATGTCAGACCATACGCGAGGCTGGAGCAGAAAACAGCCACCCTCAAGATTCAAGCTGTCGCCTAGGAACAGGAAGCTGGAGAGCGAGAGGAGCTTGAAGTGGTCCAGAACTGTGAAGCCTGCGGTTCGGAGGTCAGGGTGCAACCTCGCAAGCCTCAAAACTCCAAAGCTCTATATGAATTGGGTCCTCCGAACCAGGGTCGCTTGCAGTGTCCTTAAGGGGATCGAAAACCTCGTCATCAAACTTGAGACGATGACCATGTTGACAGTTGAAAGATGAAACTAAAGCGCTCGAGAGTTTTATGCTTGTTGGCCCCCTGGAGTCAGGGTATGTCAAACGGTTCCGCTTGGGCTTCTAGTTATCTGCTGAACTTGAAGGACCGTGAACCACCATTTGAAACGGTGCCTTCGCTTCCCAGAACCCGTTTTTAAGGCAAACCACACGCCGTGGCTCTTCGGTCCACCTGCATGTCGGGCTTCAGACCCTATATGCTAGAGCGCGACTTTGTGAGATCCAAATGAAGCCTAAATCTTTTACAGGGTTCTCTACTTGGAGGGTCGGGGGACTTAGTAAGTATTTATTTTGAGGACTTATAAGTACCATAACCCCAAATAGGGCCCCTCTTAGGGTACATATAAGTCTACTTATAGTCCACTTACTAAGTCCCCCGACCCTCCAAGTAGCTTGTGACTGTGTCAAGTAGACGCTTTCAACTAGCATCCTTAAGACCTAGACCCCAGCGGTTTAGGGTTTAGGCGTCGGGGTACTTGGAGGATCCTGGGACTTAATAACTAAGGTTATCAGTGCCTTACTTGGGGTTATAAATACTTATAAGTATATTCTAAGTACAGTTACCTTAGTTAGAACCCTAGCTACTAAGTCCCATGACCCTTTAAGTAAGCTTTACGTTCGTTCCAGCCTGTGAAGCCCAGGGCATATCCGAAGGTTTGCCCGGCAGCGTTGCACGTGGCTTGGTAGTTGCTGTTCTCCTGTGCCGGGGGAAGACAGAGGAAGGCACGGGGAAGGCTCAAAGGCGCGATGACGATAGGAATGCAGGTGTCCTTATGGTAGAAGCATGCATGCCTGCCGTTCCCAATACATTCATGTAGTCGTGCTGAAACGTCCCCCGCAATGGGGTGGCTTCGTGGATGCAGAGTTCCAACGGTTTTGGGTGTCGTGCTTTCTGGTTTTAGGCATTCTGGGTGTTTTAGGGCTTCGGGTTTTAGAGGCTCGGGTTTGGGGTCTTGCGTTTTGTGCGCATCATGGGAGGATCTGGTACCTGAAGCCCTACTGCAAGTTTAAAGCCTCAAGCCCAGAAAACCAAGCTCTTAGACACCCTACCCGAGAAGCTATACCTAGACCCTTAAATGTGGTACTTCTTTATATTATAGGATTCCAGGCAAGTCATCCAATAAACGGAACTACGTTTTCGGGTCTAGGCCTAGGTAAACTAAATTTAAAATGCAGGCTGAAGCTCCGTCCTTTCGCAGCATCGTCAAGGCCCAGCCATCCACGGCAATGTCCTGGTGATTCGGTTTTGTTGGTGTGGGCTTTGAGTCGAACGTATGGCTCGATTGGTTTTGTGTTTGATCCTGCGACTTCGTGTTTAGTAGTAGTTTCGGCGTTGGCTGGGGAGGGAGAGGGCGGAAAGTAGAAAGGTGGAAAGTTGAGTAAGACTGGGTAACTAAGCATTTTCGGATAGCTAAGTCACATGCAGAAATTCCTTACGGCAGCCTGTGAATGAGGGCCACGGGCTCTTCCCACACTTCAGCCAAGGTGCTGCAAGCGCTTTCGTCCTTTATACGTGTACTTAAATGGTTATGACTTAAGCGCCCACCCCACTCCCTAACCACATGCATCCCTGCCCTGAAGGCCCCTAGACCTCCACATGCCACTCATCCTGATTCTACAGACTTGGGGCATCTTCTCCTATTTGGCCCACACAAAACTGCCGAGGGTAATATAGGGGCCTTAATTTAAGGGCCTTAATAATTAGAATAGGGTTCGGGGGCCCATTATAAAACAGTTATAATAAGGAACCCCCAAAATAATCTAGGTGATTGTTAAGTCTCCTATATTAGGGGGTCCTGAGTGGCGCAAAGGAAGTTCATGGCCAGAAATAGACCGGTCAGCGTGTTGATGGCAGGCTTGTCTTCACGCGTTCCTGGGATGCCGAAACCGTGAACCATCAACTCTGCAACCGCCCTACACCCTTAAACCCTAAAACCTACAACACCTAAACCACCCTGAATACCTCAAGGGATGGTCTTCCCGAGTTTTTCTGGGATCTAGGAATCAAAAAGTGATGCCTAAAATTCTACCAGTAAATTATACTCAGCCCGGCCAAGCCCCTTTGCCCTCTCATTCTGGGATATAAGACCCAAGATCATCCCAAACCCTATTCTAATTGCTAAGGCCCCTATATTATATTAACCCCTCGAAAAGCAAGCTGGGTCTGTATAAACCCTGGTTGAGGACAGACAGGAAGCCAAACGGGGCATTCACAACAGCGGGGTTTGGGATTTCTGAAGATGATCTCTTAAAAGTATGCGCACCCTGTTGAATGCCAAAGCCCCATTGTACCTACTATAGGATTCTTAGTCTGAGTAATCCGAACACTAAAACCGGAATAAGGAAGCCTGAGGAATAGCATTACCAGGTATTTCAGTTCTCAAGAATACTCAGATCCTTTGAAGTACTAAGACTGGAGTAGGGAGGCCGAGGGAATAGTATTACCAGCTATTTCAATTCTCTAGAATACTAAGACTGGAATAAGGAAGCCTAGGGAATAGTCTTACCAGCTATCAATACTCGGACCCTTTGAAGTACTAAGGCTGGGGAGGTCTAGGGAACAGTACTACCAGCTATTTCAAACCTCTAGAAGACTCAGATCCATTGAAGTACTAAGACTGGAATAAGGAAGCCTAAGGCCTAGGGAATAGTACTACCAGCTGGTTCAAACTTCTAGAATACTCGGATCCTTTGAAGGACATCACCAGTCCGAGCTTCCGATGAGGGACTCGAGCTGCGTGGCCGTGTAGAGCCTCAGCGGGAGCTTGGCAGTTTGAAGGGTTACGGGTAATGTAGGGACCTTACTAGGTAGAATGGGGTACCCTTAAAGGGGTTCCTTTAAAAGGGGTCTATGAGGATTACTGTGTAAGGGCGACTAAAACAAGGGTTTGATATGAGAGCCTTAAGAAGAATCAATTAGAATAGGGCTTTCGGGCACAGTATACTATAGAAGGAAACCCCCCAAAAAATGTATTGTTAGTTATTTCGGCTCCAATTAGAGCTTGGGGCTTGGAGGGTTGAGGTCAGTTTAGGGGTTTGGTGTGGCGTGATTTTGCAAAAGGTGGGAAAATTGGAGTTCATGCATGGCAGTAGGGCTTGCGCGTCGAGTATAGTATCTGCGCTTTTACAGGCACACGGCAAAAGCCCAATGTACCCAGTCTGTGTAGGTCTGAGGCTTCGAATCTAGCATGTCTTCTGATCCACGATCCTTACCACAATATCAAGATCCGTACGAAAAACCCCAAGACTAAAAGTTCCAAAAACGCCTCAAACAACCCAAAGCTCAAAAACCCCAAAGCACGCAAGAAGCCCTCCGAAACTCAGAGCTCAGGTGCATCAGCAGTCCGATAAGAAGCTGGGACGGCACCATCCACCTCTGCGGCAGATGGGACTTTCGGAAAACAGGAAACCCTCACTTGGAGTCGATTCTAATTCTATTAGATCTCTATATTAAACCACAAGGGGAGTTGAACATTACTCCAAATCGAGACCTAGCTAATGTAGTGGGGACCACAACCAGCAGGATGACCATCATAGATTTGACTCATGATCAACGCGATATAGATCGTTACACGTATACTTTCAAATTTGAACCTAAACCGATGCTCATGATCACCCGGAGGAACCCTGGTCTGGCACCCAGAAGTAAACACAACCCAGGTGGCTATCGGCGCTGAGGCTGGAGAGTCGGATCTACTTCATTGCAGCGGACATGCTTAGAGGGTCCGAGCACCCAAATAGTCGGGTTTGGGTCCCAAAATCCATACCCTGAATGCCTACCCTAAACCCTAAACCAAGTAACTGGACCCTGCAGCGTCTCGGTTTAGGGTGGTTTTGGTTGTTGCAAACATGTATTTTCCCGAGCTGCCGCTTCCCTTCACTCAAGGTTTCGGATTTACTCTACCGATACTCAGAGAGGGGCTGCCAAGTGGCAATGACTGTGTTGGACGGGGTATTGTTATCTACAGTTTTGGCTGCATTCAATGCAACCTGGCACGAGGATCCATTAACCTCAAATTCGGCTTATGTTGCAAGTTCGAGCATTTCGCATCAGCAGCTGCGCTTGGATGGTGACGGCATGGGCCGTGCACATGCAGATGGCAAGCTCTTCATGGAACTAACAAAAACGGGCCATGCGGACACACAACGACTGAGATGATTGGCACGGCCACAAGCCTAGAATTTCTGGACATGCGGTGAAAGGGCTTAGGGCAGCCGGTTTTCCACAGGCGAAGTATCTATGGTTGTACTAGCAACTAGCATGCATGAAAAGTGTCCGGTTAGATGACTATCCCTTCTCCAGTTCACCGTCTGCTTCAGATTGTTGAAGTTACGTACCCGGTGCACATTGGAGTCTCCATAGTTCCTGGCCCAGCCACGTCTTTCGCCGGCCGATGCTGCGGAAGTAAACAGAATCGACTAGCCTCAGAGACACAGTGGAGGGGTCCCGGGCGTGCAGAGACTCTCACGAACGAGGGGTCTGATTGTTGAAAGAACCAGGACCCTCCTTGTACCCTCAAATAGGAGTATATGGCCCCAAATAAAGGGCATTTAGGGTCTAATGGGGGGTAGATGGAGGATCTAGGAAGCCTGTGACACGGAAAAGACGGCTTGCTAATGAATCTGGAAGATTGCAGGGGGTGGTGGCGAGAATGCTCTCATTGCTCTTCATCGAAGAATGATTCATCTGCTAACTACTGAGGTGCGCCAGATTTCACACAGACTCTAAACCGGCAGAAAGCCCACCAAGAAACCTTTGCGATATTCGGACCCAAACCCACTCATCAAGTAGCATCATGCACGCACGCAGGCCCGCATGTCCTGCCCTAACATACATACACACTCACAGACGTGTGTATTGTACATACATCGATCATATATATATATATATATATATACATATATATATATATACATATATATATATATACATATATATATACATATATATACATATTTATATTTATATTTATATTTATATTTATAGTTATTCACACACCCACACCTGTAAGTGAAGCTGTATTCTGTGCAAATGTGTACACAAAGACTGCATTTAGGTACTTGGCCCGGCGGCATAGATAGACCCCTTTGAAGCCAAAGGTGCGGTGCCCACAGCAACTTCAGCACGAAAGGCCACGACTGCCTTGGCCAAGACTGCTGCATAGGTGTTTTACTGGAGCTAAGCTGTAGATTCAGGTTGTTATTTGGTTTTACTAGAGTTGCAATGTGATTAACGGTTCAGACGTGAGGTTTTCAGGCTTCGGTAACGAGTGCGGTTTCTCCCCGATCGTTTAACGTGCCTTCGACGCCGGCCTTCACGTTACAACTGATTTGAGCAACACCCAAGAGGCAACCACTCTAACCCTGAATCCTAAACAGAAAAACAAAAATTCCTAACCCGAAATGCAAACCATAGCTGAAAAAGACATATGCCCAGATGCCGACAGCGCTCCACCCCTAGTGCCCAATGCGAGCCCAGAAGCCCGGACCCGAAACTGCGAACCCAGGACCTGAAAAAGCTCGCAACTGCATACTCCAGGACCCTCCTTGTACCCTCAAATAGGGGTTTTTGGCCCAAATTATGGGTATTTGGGGTTGAATGGAGGGTAGATGGAGGGTCTCGGCTATAATTGCCCTGACAACCAACCTGAAAGAACCGGACTTCCGTAAGTTCCCAAGCTTGGAAGTTAGAAACGACTAACACCAAAGACAAAACGACAATAAGTCGTTGTGCAGAGTTTTCGAGGTTCGGTAAACAAAAGAGACAAACATGCAAAACACTGAACCCCAAAATGCAGCATCGCAAGCCCGGCGAGCGGCAAGGAGAACACACCCAAGTCGGCGTAGGAGGCGCCATACTCCTGGAAGGAAGCGCTAAATGCTCTAAGATTTGCAGGTCTGTTCCTGTTGAGGCTAGAGGCGGGTTCCTATCAGGGCTGATGTCAGTTTACTGTATGTATGTTGACTATGGTTCGGGGTATGGGACTGTGGGATGTGCAGCTTAGAGTTATGGGATGTGCGGCTGAGACAGAGTTCCCGAAAACCCAGTTGTGTTGAGATTGCCATCATGCGAACAGCCCAAGACCTCTGCCAAAATGAATCCAACCTTGAACCCAACATTGGAGCACTGAGGCACTCAACAAAATACACACAAAGCCCTGATTTCCCTCCAACAAACCCTAAACCTCACAAACCCTGCCGGAACCCTACCAACACCAGACCCGTAACTACCCCAAAAAATGCGCCAAATCCTAGAAGCCCTAATTACAAACACCCCTAGAAAACACCAAACTCTGCGAGACTGGGTTTAGGGTTGATAGGGTCTAGGGCTTGGGAAATTCAAGCCCTAATCCCCTCCTCAACATTGAGGTTTGGGATCCTGAACCCTACAGTAAACCCCATAAAGTTGGAAACCGGATTAAGGCCAAATAGAGCTGGGATTCCTTATACATCACTCTTAAGGATTGAAGCTATTTGGGTTTCCAACTTTTGGGCTTCTACTGTAAACCCCTAAGTTCCCCTTAAGGCCTTCAGAATCATTGGGAAGACTTGGCCCAAGCCCATGGGGATGCCCTCGCGAGCTGCCGGGCTCAGGCCGAGGCTGTTCGGTTATTTTGGGTTTTGGGGTTTTGGGGTTTTGGGTTTAGGAGATTTTAGGGGGGGCTTTGGGTTTGGGGCTTTAGGTGGGTTTGGGGTTTAGGGCTTAAGGCTTACCGGTTTCAGGTTTTGTAGGTTTGAGCGTTTAAGGCTTCGTGGTTTAAGATTAAGGTACAATAAAGATTGGGGTTTAGAGTTTAGAGTTTCAGGGAAGCATTTTTTTGCACAGGGTTTGAGGTTTATAGGGCTTATAGCTTCGGGGTGAAGGGCTTAAAAGGTCAGAGTTTAAGGGTTTTCAAGAGCTCGGAGGCTTCAATTTGTAAGGGTGTAGAGTTCAGGGGCTCAGGACTCAGGTTTTAGAAAGGGCCTTTAGGGGTGTAGGTTTCAGGCTTTTGAGGCTACAAGGGGTCTGCTTAACGGGTCATGGGACCTAGCAACTGGAGTTAAACTTATTGTAATAACTATACTTATAATTTCTTACATCCCCAATTCAGGTACTGATAACCTTACTTACTATATGCTATATTAGAATGAATGTAATAACTATAGTTAGAAATACCTATATCTTTTTAAAGTAAAAACTGGTAACCTTACTTACTAAGTGCCATGATCCTCCAAGTGGGATTCAAGCATTTTCAGCATTTCGAGATCAGAGTTCTTTCGGCTCCAGGCTTGCGGGTCGGAGCAACGGGTCTGGGCACACGCTCCCGTCGCCGTGGCTGCTTATGGGTGCTTTCCTCTACTCTCTTCTTCAACAACCGGGCACAAAAAGTTCCCAATAGGCCCCACATGCAAGGCCAACAAGTTGAAAGTCCTCACATCAGCTATCTATGTGTAGGTTGCACACAAAGGCTCTCTGGGTTTTAGCAAACACAAACCAGAGTTCGTTTTAGCTTGGAAGCTTCGTCCGGGAGATTCAGGTTCATGGGTTCACCGTACACATTTCGCGTGCTCGCCAAGTGAAAGTTCATCATCATCATCATCATCATCATCATGGGTTCACTGATGCACAGTTGTGCAGGCCGGCACAGTATGCTAAAATGATGGCTTGGGCTAAACAGCCAGCCTGCAGCGTGTAGAGCAAGAAGAGCAGCGCAAGATTGCCTTGGCTTGGTGACAAAGTGACATGGGTTTGTGACAGTTTTTCTTTGTCATGTTTAGTCACAGGAAACACTACGGATACCAGCCGTCATTTGCCAGGCTCCAAGCTAAACCCTAAACCCGAAAATCCTAAGCCCAAAACCCTAGCCGGTTTGTGGAATTCGGATAACCGCACATCCCGAACCCGAAACCTGGAACGCGACGTGCGCCCGAACTTGAATCTTTAGTGTTCAAGGCTTCTGGGGGCAATTACTGAGGCAGACCCTTGATTTAGATTTTCATGCTAACCTGTATTTAAGGGAGGGTTGGGTTCGTGATTAAAAGCCTGCATTACCCTTTATCTTTTGCCCCTTGCCCAAAACTCCAAAGCCACGAGCCCTAAAGCCCTGAAACCAGAAATCCCTAAATCCCTGAACCCCAGAACCCATAAGCCCTAACCCGAAAACCCGAAAGCCCTAAATCCCGAAACCCCAAAACCCGTCTACAAGGGCGTTCGGGTCTTTCTGGCTTCGTTTAGAACAAAGGGCGCAGCTGCATAACAAAAGCATGCCCAGCCTTAAGCCAAGGGTTCCGTAAAGGGCTTTATAAAGTTACTAGAAGATCTCATTATATAGGTGCCTTAGTGGTATAGGGTCTTGGGGTATGTTGAACCCTAGGTCTCTGTTTAGGGCTTAATTAAGTAGACGGTTAAGAGCTTGAATGCCGAAGGGTTCAAACCATCAACTAGGACCAAGTTCGGCTTAAGGCCACTTCGGGTTCCGAGCACAATCCCACCCCTAAGCCCCAAAACCCTGAACCCAGATTCTATACTCTTAACCCTGAAACCGTCCCGCACACCCTTAACCCTGAAAAAACCTCATGCAAGCCCTACATCTGAAAGAATCCTGAAGCCAAAGGTGATGAAGCAGATCGAAGTGACCATACTCGCCCGTAAGGTCGGGTGCCTTTTCCGGGGCTGGGGCCTGAGCCAAGGAACCCTTGAAGGAACGCTCGTAGTATTGTAGTTTACTTATACAGAGACTTTAAGGGGATACTAGTACTAACTAGTCCGGCCCCTACATGAGGAGGCAGGAGAGAAGTTGCTTAGTTTTGGGTTTGCAGCTTGTTTAGCAAGTGGGGTTTGGGTTGATCGGGTATACTTGAACTGTGAACCAGATAACTTGGACATCTTCTTGTAGTCAGAACACATGCCACTGCTGCAAAATGCCCGCGACATGACCCTCCATCGGACTCAGACTGACATGCTCAGAAGCGACTAGACAGTTGCAACCACCATCACCACCACCACACCACCACCGCCGCCCAGGGCAGAACAGCAGCGGCCGGAAACGCACCGGCAGTCGAAACAAGCATCTTTCCAGTGCGCACATTCTTCGGCAAACAAGTGCATCGCTGCTGCAGTTCTGCTTCACCCACGACCATGCCACGAACACCATGGACATTGGCAGTCCTGTCAAAACCTAAACCCCAAAGCATGAATCCCGGACCTGCCATATACCTTAAGCTGATACCAAAAGCCAAACGCTTAAGCAATTACTCAGCCACAGTCTTCTAAATCCTAAAGCGCTCAATCGAACGCCCGAAAGGCATTGCTGCTTAATCCAATCGCCCCTACGCATCACCCAAGTCTAAGCTAGAAGTCCACACTTTTCGGTTCAGTGTGTAGCACTAAGCGATTTAATTTTTCAGGGGCGAGTCAAGGGTTTCCGGGCTCAGTGCTACAGGGTTTAGGGCTTCTGGGCTGGAAGGTTTAGAGAGTAGGGTCACGGGTGTAAGCCCGACGGTTTTAAAATAGTAACAAACTAGAGACGAGAAGAGCATCTTCGCTCTATCTGCTGGGCCTAGTTCGGACCGGTCTGCCAAAGGGACTGATTGCGAGGGTCTTCCGCACCTTTGAGCCATCAATTACAAAGTCTTGTTGGGATGTTTTTTGGCACATGCAAGTAGGGTTACCAATTACAGGTACACCCCCTCAGCGAGATTTTGCACTCCCGAAACTTGTAAATGCAGTGGTGTTACTTTGAACCCTGCCACCAACTGCCCATGAACCTTCAAGTTTGCGCAGCGACCTTCTGACGATTGATGCCGAACCTGCAACAAACCACATACTGGATCTCACAGCCCGCCTGAGCAAGCAGCTTGCACTTGGGACCCTGCTGGGCTTATCTTACTTATCTCTATAAACCCAACAGCGCAAGCCGTAGCCGTAGATCGAAACCCTGTGTAATTCCCGAAGCCCCAACCCTAAAAAGCAACCCTAAACCCTAAACTTTGGCTCTAAACCCCTAAACCCTAAACCATAAACTTTGGCTCCAAACCCCTAAACCCTAAACTTTGGCTCTAAATCCCTAAACCCTAGACCCTAAACTTTGGCTCTAAATACCTAAACCCTAAACCCAGAACAGCCTCGGCCTTCTTGGCGCTCTCTGTCGGTGGCTTCCTCGGAGCCGCTGGCCGGATGGATCCGATACAGAAAATCCCATAAAGTGGAAAGCGGACTAAGGCCAACTAGTGGTGGGATTCCCTATACATTACGCTTAAGGATGGAGGCTATTGGGTTTCCAACTTTTGGGCTTGTGCTGTAGTAGGCTTTTGATTGAAGGTCTGATGGAAGTTTGAGGTGTGGGTGGGCTTAAGGGTTTCAAGCAGACGGTCTCGGCTTTCGATAAAAGGTTTCGTAGTTGGGGGATCAGGCACAGTGGGAACTCATTCCAAGTCTGAGTCCCATCCCGTGGCAACCCAGCATGCAACAAGCAACAGGTGCTCACACCCGATTGAAGGGTTTAGCGATCCAGGGCTGTAGGGCTTCCGGGTTCAGGTTGCTACGTGGAGCCCTATCGTTCCTCTGGCTAATTTAGAATTTAGTCTTGGCCATCGAACTGTTCTACTTTCCCGTATAGCAACTCCTAAAGCCCTAGTTCCGACTACTAGACCCGAGAGTAACCTAGGAATAACAAGGGTGCCCTTTTTGGTTTAAAGGGGCTCATAATGGAATCTGACACCTAAAGAAAGGGAATAAGGGCCTACTCTGGGTCCTAGACTATGGTGATCCAAGTCTCCCTGCGCTCTTCACCTCCGGCCGAATCTGAGTCTTTGCCTTGGGGCCAGCGCGAGGCGTCAACGTGCGGGCACTGGCCTTGTCAGTGCTTCGGCAAACCGATAGGAGGGGGTTTAGGGGTTTAAGGTTTTGGGGTTTAGGGTTATTATCAGTTACAATTAGCATGACTATTGCTATTTTGCCTGGCTCCCGTTTTGAGTATTACTTTGACTGTCTATGGCTCCTTTTGGTGCTGTTCTTAGGGTCTTCTCGGCTGCTTGGAGGTTCCGGAGGCTTGGTACTGTAAGTAGATTGTAGGCAAGATACAAGTCTGATAGGATTAGGGTTTGCGGTTTAGGGCTTAGGGTTTAGGGTTCGTATTCGGCTATTCGGCTCCTGGCAACTCCTCTTGATATCTACTTGCTGCATCCCTGATCTTCAAGCAGGGACTCGTACAGAATACTCGGAGGGTCGCGGGACTCAGTAAATATGTAGGTCGTACCAAGTACCCTAAACAAGATCCTAATTGTGGGGTTATCATACTTACAGGTCCATAAACAACTCCCTGCCAATAAGTCCCACGACCCTCAAATTAGTAGACACTCCTCATTCTAGCAAGGTACCATCCAATGATTTTGAAGACTTTGCCTTGGCTTTGGTCTGAGTCTGAGTCAATCTGAGGATTCAGGGTTCATAAAGTTTAGGGCTTCCGTTTAGGGTTTAGGGTTCAGGGCTCATCGGGCTTTGTGGTTGCAATGTCGGGTTTAAGGCTCAGAGGGTTTAGGGTTTCAGTTTAGGAACTCTGTCAAACATGGGCTCAGATGTCGCAGTCCGGCGCATCCATCACCATCATTGGATTCGGGTTTAGCTACGCGTTCCTCCGAATCACGTAGGTTTAGGACGCCTTTTATCATTGATAGATATATATATATATATACACATAACACATTCGTCCCAAAACCCCAAGGCTTGCACTCAATTCGATGAACATGAAACAACACAGGCCGAAACTCCAAAGAAGCTCAGCCCCGACAACGCCTGCAGAACCCCTCAACGGAAACCGTAAAGTTCAGGGTTTAGGGTTCAGGGGCCCCTTAAATGGCAACATAGGACTGGCGGCCCGAGCGCTCACAGAATTCTCCGAAGCGTTCTAACTATGCCACAGAACCTGAATTGAAATCCCATAAGGCTGATAGCAGCCTTGTAAAATCATCTAGTAATTAATCCTAAAAAGCCCTATGAAACCTCACAAACAAAAACCCGCAAACTTCCTTTAAAGCCCTACGAACCCCCATGTTCAAACCCCTTGAACCCCGACTCCGGGATTCCGGGATGCCGACGCCGGCGGACGAGGCCGCTTTCGGCGTCGACGCGGCAGGATTGGGCTTCGCTGGGCTCGACTTCTCGGCCATGGCTTCGTAGGGAAGTCTGCAAGACCCGGACCCCAGAGCACTAGTAAGCCCTGCGCGCTGTCTTGAGGGATCCTCACTGTGTTGCCTACGGCCGAGGTAGAGGGAACCAGAGAAAACATCTCTGACTAGATCACCCCATGTAGCCGTCAGTGCAGTTTCTGCTACACTTTCTGGATTATTTGTGAGCGGCTCATATTATAGCGCATCGGATCATCACCGGCATGGTGCATAGTCCCGGCCACATCCTGAAAAGCATGACCCATGGCTGACCTACACGGCGGAGGTGATTCAGGTCTCACGCCCGGGTGACACATCGAAATAAAGGCTTCGGGCCTCGGGCCCTGCATAACAAGCTACACTCCAGTGATGAAACACAAAGTACTCCGATGTCAAGGGAACCTTCACCCTGCTCATGGACTCGGAGACCTGCGTAATTTTTCAGCAGGCCCCCATGGGATGCTTCGACACCATTGCGGTTCCTGTTTGGTTTATCCACGCTTGTGTTTAGGATCCTTTAAATGGGTTAACCCGCGAAACGAACTACAATGGAGACTGTAGATATACTTGGCAGGAAGAGCCGGGATCCACAATCTGCCTCCATTTCCGAACGCCACATCACGATCCGGTAGCCCTGCCGGCAAGGCGAGGGACCCATTAAAGAGAGAGAGAGAGAGAGAGAGAGAGAGAGAGAACGATACATATATATATATATATATATATACGTACAGACATCTGCATATACATCTACATCTATATCTATATTCATGTATGCATCCACAGCTATACCTGCATGTGTATACACATTAAACTCAGAACTCGAGGTATATGAGTATATAGGATCATTGCCAAACAAACTGAATGTTCAGACCGAGTTGGTAGGATTGAGGCTGGAGGTTAGGGCTTCGGGCTTTTGGTTTGAATGCCCGCTTTCGGTGCTGGCTTGGTTTGGGCGTGTGGCTGGAAATTCCTGTTTTGGCGCCTGATTCTCCTCCTGCTTCGACTTGCCTCGTCGTTCCGAACCCTGGTCTTCCTTGACTTCATGCCCTCCGAGCATCGCCGCATCCCCTGCTCGTTCTCGCTCGGTAGCGGCTCAAGTAGAACGTGCCCCTCAAACCCCGAAGCCTGAATCCTCGCCCTAAATTGTCAATCCTGAACCTTAAACCCTGAATGCTACCCCCTAATCCCAAATTGCAAATCCTAAACCCTGAATCCTAAGTACTGGAGGATGTTCTCCTTCTGGCCCTCGTTCTGCAGGGTGTTTTGGCTTTAGGGCTTAAGGCTCCATATTTGTAGTCAGGACTTTGGTGGTGGAGCCCAAAGCGTGGGGATACCTACCATCTACATCTACGGGGCAGAAATGGGTCGGCAAGGCCTGGGCTACCCGAAGAGCATGAGAATACTTTTGCACTCATGAAACATGTGGGATCTGATGAAAATCCCTAAACCCTAAACCCCTCAACTCTAAACCCCTAAATCCCTTAACTCTAAAACCAAATAAAGCACATCGCCTTGAACCTGCACCCCGGCACCGTAAGACTCCGAACTCTGACCCTGAAGCATCAGCCGACCAGCTTGTTTAGGGTTTAGGAACCCTCAATCGCCATGCCGACTTCCATGAAGGCATGTTGGCCCCACGCGCCCTAATCCAACCCCAAGCTCGGACATTCTGAGTTCTAAAGCCCATCCGAACGAGTAAAAACTCGAAACCATGCATTGTTGCACTCCGACGCCCAAAGCAAGACAGCCTGCGCCGAGCCACCTGCTATGAACCCGCATTCATCCTGCGACGTGGAAAGGCTGTACTTTGTTGCTCGAAAGTTCGAGGCCCTTCGCACAAACCCTAAACCCCCCAACCCTAAGCCCTAGACCCTAAACCGGAAGCCCTAAACCCTAAACCCGAAACCCTAAACCCGAAGCCCTAAACACGGGGCTTGAGGCTTCAGGAGATAGGGAAGACTTTACGCGGCCCTTCTGGAGCTCCCACAGTTGCCCCAAGAGCTTCCGGACCCCCAACAGTACTTGGAAGGTCCGGGGACTTACTAAGTAGGTAGTAGATACTTGGAGGGTCGGGGGACTTAGTAAGTAGATATTCTAGAGACTTATAAGTATCATAACCCCAATTAGGGTCCCATTTAAGGTACTTATAAGTCTACTTGTTGCCTACGTACTAAGTCCCCCGACCCTCCAAGTAGACTTCTGTATAAGTACCCTAAAAGGGACCCTGACTGGGATTATGATACGTATAGCTACTGACTAAGTCCCCCGACTCTCCAAGTAGCACCTGGAATACGACGGGTTTAGGGCTTGGGGTTTATGGAGGTGTGGGGAGTGTGGGCTTTGAGGTTTAGGTACGGCATGCTATACTACGGTTGATGATACAAATCCTGCATTACCTTAAGGACCCTACATTGTGGAGAATTGTGGTATATTTCTTCTTATGAGTAATGCAGGGTTCATAACATCAACCGTATACCCTAAATAAACCTCAGTCTCCAAATGTATGGGGCCGGCCTGTAGCAGGAGCTAGAAGTCCTATGGCTCCTACCACAAAGCGACCCAAGCCCTGTAATGAAGGGAACTCTTGAAAGGAGAATAGGCTTGGTGATTATACTTTATTCGATTGATCTCTTTATATCTGTTTGCATACACATGTATGCCTAGAAGGCCTCTGATTACGACATGTTCAGCCTTACTATACTGCGCAATTAAAGCCTCACCGTAGTTGATTTCTGCACCTGCTGCGTCTGTCGATACACGGGGCCTGCTCTCAAGCAGGGTTCATCGTGCAGGATACGAGACAAGTTAGCTTGTTCTTAGCACACAGCCCGCACCCTTGCTGTGCAAGGAGTGTGTTCGTTTAAGGTTTAGTGTTTCTGGTTTACGGTCGTAGAGTTTCGGGTCTGTGTCGTCTGGGCTCGAGGTACAGGGTTGACAAAGCTTTTAAAATCTAGAAACTATATATGCGGCAGGGAATGACGGACACCACTATGAACTCCAAATACCAAATAGCAGGGTACGAGGACATACTAGGACCCTCTTTGCAAGGTACCCGAAACAAAGGACCCCATGACTAAAGAAGCCCCTGTATTTTGCAGGAAACGTAGAATTCCAGGGTTGGGTTTGCACGGAAAGAATACTCCCACCTCATCGTAGGGTCGGGAAGCGGCCGAGATCATGTCCTGTCATTGCTGAAAAGATGAAAAGCTATAACAAACCATGGCCGTGGCTTTAAACCCTGGTTACGAAGCCGAAAAGCCTTAGACATTGTTGAAGGAGACCAATGAAATCTGTGAAATGCCTCTGTGCTCGTGCGGATGCAAAACACCCCTGAAGCTCTAAATCATAAATTTTTACCTTCTGCAGTCATGCGCCACAAAAACCTTGCTAATTAGACTTGAAGTATCACATGTCTCGGGGGCTATCGTATGACACCCTTTAGCGAAGGCCTCATTCCTCCCCAAGTGCTCGAAGCTGTCTCCGAAAAACCCAAAATCAAAGCTCCAAACCCCGAAAACCTCAAACCTAACACCTTAAGCCAGTATATGAAGACAGACAGCCCCGAGCACTAACACCCACAACTTCGAGACCCTAAACCCGACACCGCAAATCTGTCCTCGTCGAGGAGAACCTCGGAAGGCGTGAGACCCCGGCTGCGGAGGTCGTCCTGGAAGATGAAAGTTTTGGGTTTTGGGTTCAGGGTTTGGGGCTGAGGGGTTGTGGGTACAAAATGTCCAAGGTTACCAAGGTTAAGAGGAATGCGCAAGACTTTCAGCGCAACACACAAACCAGAAATGTATAACAGACATAGACCAAGAAGCTCTAAACAGCCTGCAACACAAAACTTCACTCCAAGCCGTCGAAGCCCCAAGCGCTGGAGCACCGTATTACCTGAAAGCAGGGTAGCTCGGGATTAGGGTTTACCTGCACCCTCCGAAAGCTATCTCTTTAAGGGCTCCTGCATATGATTTCCGTATATTAGTCCTTAAAAAAGGCAGGCAATACAACTGCTAGACCATCTATATCATGGTTGGGGGACCTAATTCCATCATGGTAGTATATATGGACTTCTAGGTAACATACTTCTCCAAAACCGGGTTGCCGCAAGAGCCGCATCCACGTCAGGGTTTAGAGTTTAGGCTACACAGACCACTGAAGATGGCCAAGCCTTACACCCCAAACCTTAAACTCCGAAACCATGCTCCCCCAAACCCTAAGCCCCAGATCTGAAACCACAAAACCCTCAACCCCCAAAAGCCTAAACCCAACGAACGTAACCCTGGAAACTCAGGAGCCCCAGCCCTAAGCCATACACCATTGCTAGAACTTTACCGACCCCACTGTGACCCTTCTAGCCTTGAAGGCACCTTATAGTAGCCTTTATGATACCATTCTAGTAAGCTGTATTCCGAAACTTGATCCAACCCGCGAAACCCTAAGCCCTAAACCCCTAAACCCTAAATCCTAAACCCCCAAACCCCTGAAACCCTAAAACCTTTAAATCCCTAAACGCTATAAACCCTATAAATCCTAAACCCCCAAACCCCTGAAACCCTAAACCCCCAAAACTCAAAACCCTAAATTCCCACCCAGAAGGGGCCTCAAAGGACTCAATTCCGGAGCGTAGGTCAGGTAGTGCACCCAAGAGCCTCGGTAGTCGGCATTCCCTACGGGTGCTTAAGGGAGAGCTTATGGCTTAAGCTAGAGGGTTTAGGGGTTTAGGGTTCAGGGTCTAAGTGCTATAAAGGGAGGGTCTAGGGTGTAGGGTTTAGGGTTCAGGGTGTAGGTGAAATAGGGGGGAGGGTGGGGGAGGAGGGAAAGAAGGGACTACTAAAATTTGAGGGGTTCTATACGGACTAGGGATCCACTCCCCACTCTTTCCTGGGCTTGGGGGATCGCCTGCTATAATTCTATCGAGGTTAAGGTTTATGATTCTACCAGTTGAGGCTTTGACGAGTCACATGTGGTGGTTTAGCAGTTGAAGGGGTTTGAAAGTTTGAGGTTCAAGCTTTCAGGGTAAGTATGGACTAGATGCCTTAAACTATCTCATACGAGACCACAAACACCTCTAGTCCTGAATCTGTATTCAACCACTCCATGGGACTCTGCAAAACCCAGAAAGCCCAATCACCATTATTCAAGCTTCATTGAACCGGGAATATTCGAGGCAATACTGCGTGAATTGTGAAAGAAGGCCTTTCTAGTTTAGGTGATATTCCAGCGCCCACTGATCATCATTCTGTGCTGTACGAGGATCCTACACGCCCACAGCTGTTTGAACAAAAAGGCCCTAAACCCCTAAACCCTTAACCCCTAAACCCCTAAAGCCTAAACCCCTAAACCCTAAACCCCATAAACCCCATAAACCCTAAACCCTAAACCCTCTACACTGGAGTCCAGAGGTAACCTGATGTTTGTTGCACAAGCTGTGAAAGGAGCCTCTGGGGCCGCAGCACTCCACTAGGCCTCAGCAGGGCCTCTGGCAGGAAGCAGCAAGTCCGAGGCCAGGGCGGTGGACCCGAAGACTCCAAAACCCCTTAACCAAGGAATGCATCCCTTACATCTTACTAGGAACCCTGATAAGATTTGAAGGAGTTTCCTGAGTTGAGGGGTTTTGGAGCCTTTGGGGACGTACTTATAAGAGTTTAGGGATTGGGGTTCAGGAAGCACTTGTGAGGCTAAAATTTAATTCAGCCGGGGACTGGTGATTAGGTCCAGGTTTTGTACTGCTGGATTCGAGTTGCGAGTTTGAGTCTGAGGGGCTGAGTACCCCCCAAAAGATTAGAAGTTACCTGCTCAGCCACGAAGGAGTGGTTCAGAGTCAAGGGGAGATCTAAGCCGTGCGGTTCAAGGGTTCGCAGATTCTGGCTGTTACCCATAGGCTCCGTCAAAGGTTACCTACTCTGCTACTATGCCTACACCCCAAAAGTGTATAAAATAGTGGCCAATGGCTCATCAAAGGCTAAGGCTATTATTTCACATACTTTTGGGGTCCAGGTAAATCTTTCGTCGCCCCAAACCCTAAACCGTGGAGAACCCGAAGATGCCGACACAAAGCAAAGAAAGCGTGCGCACCGTGGCAGCGTCCGCAAGGAGTAGGGCGCCCCGCTCCGTGTAGATGCCTCACGGCTGCTGCAGGCTTTACCTTTTTGGAGATTCTGGGATCCAAAAAACCCAGCAGTGTTTGGGGCTTCACTAGTTAAGGCTGCATTTGCTTGGGCGTTCTTGGGCTTGCATTCAGGACCTCGCGATTGGTATACCAAGGGTCCAACAACGCAAAAACTAACCCGAAACCCCTAAAAGCCTAACCGTTAACCCTAAAACCCTAAACCCCTAGGCCTTAAACTCAGACTGTAAGTTCCAGCAAATAGTACAAGGTCTGGCTTTGATGGCTTTTCTAAGATTCCAACTGACTGCACGCGGTTTCTGCAGGAACAAGGTCGAACAAAAACCTTCCCTCGGTCGAGGCTGAAGAAGGCAGTCCAATAAGGTTCATTTTGGGGTTTACTACGGTTTGTGGTTTATGAATGGGTTAGCTGCGGGCATCGGGGGCCAGAGGATTAAGAACCCTTAGTTCTACACGCTTAACCCTAAACCCATGTACAGTGAGGCTGAGGACGGGTCCATCTGCAAAGAGTATGACGTCAAACTGGTCCTGGATGTGTTGGCACCAGCAAGTGTCAATGCATGGCTTTGGGTTTAGGACTTATGAAAATGAAACCAACTTCCTTTAAGTGGCCTTTTAGGATCTTGATCAAGCTTACTGAAGGAGGCGGCTTGGGCGTCACCATTATCCGTGATGGACCGACTTGCACAGAATTTTCATGGGCCACAAGGCCTCTGTCAGTGTGGGAAGTCATCCAGGGCCCGAGTAAGTAGACCATTACTTGGAGGATCATGGGACTTAGTAAGTGGGGTTATAAGTACCTCACTTGGGGTTATAGGTAATCATAGGTTGTAATTACCTTAATTATGACCCTACTTACTAAGTCCCATGACCCTTTAAGTGGGCTCTGTCGATCACTCCTGGAGTATCCAGCTTTGGGACTATCGGCTCTATCGGCGTCCTGCAGTCTGTCAATTGAGTCAAAGGCGAAGCCTCCCAAGACTTCATCGAACCCAACTACAGCCTGAAGCCTTCTTCAGGCTGCACCACGAGCCCAAAAAAACTATCAACTTTCAGGAAGGTACCGTGGAAACCAAAGATAATGGGAATAGAGAAATTCACGCGGACCGTATTACAGTGAAACCCCTTTTGAGATTTGAGGACTCTCGTGAAACAAAAACTTCAAACAGAAACAACAAACACATCTTAAATCCCAGACCTCAAAGCCTACTAACCGTAAACCTGTCGTACTCCCTGATTTTGCCAAGCTTCTTCGCCAAGCTGAGCTAACGAACAGCACATCGGAGGGTATAGGCAGACCTTATAAACCCCCCAAACCTGAAACTCCAAAATCATTTGAACCTCAATTCTAGCCCCTGAAATAAACAGGCCTGCAGCCCCTTAACAAAGAAACCCCACGTACCGACCCATATAACCAAACCCCAAACCCTAAACCCAAAACCCAAAACCCCAAACCCTAAACCCCAAACCCTAAACCCCAAAACCCTAAACCATCCCCATCCCGCAGAGGCCTTGTGTCGGTAGCTCCGCCGCCCGGCCGGGAGCCACGGGATGCTGCGGATCTCCACAGTCGGAGCGTTCTGGGCCAGGTTCTGCCTGCTCTAGGAAGTTTATATGGACTTAGGGTTTAGGGGATAGGGTTAGGGGCCAAGGGTTTAGGATTTAGGGGTTTAGGGGTTTGGGGTTTAGGGTCTATAGAGTTTAGGGTTTGGGTTCAGGGGTTTAGGGTTGGGGTTTAGGGGTTAAAGATCTGGGTTTAGGGGTTTAGGGTTTAGGCTAGGGAAGGGTTTAGGGCGTGGGGTTTAGGGTTCAGGGTTTGGGGGTTTGGAAGGGATGGTGCTTCAGGATTTCAAGCGGATTCAAGCGTCTTCGTGGGCTTGCGCTTTGAGTCTTTGAGTTTAGGTATTGGGGTGTGGGGCTTGGGACTGTGGCATCAGGCTGGAGGGTTTGCTTCAGGACTGGGGTGGTAAAGTAAACTAGGTGCACGGAAATACATATGCCCTGCTCTTCCCGAAAATAAAAGACCTTGGTCAAAAACGGCGCCGCAGTTTGGAGAACGCCCCATATCTGGCAGTTACAATACGGACGGCAAGTAAAGGAATAACCTTAAACTATTGGTGATTATTCCGACCTTTATCTCACAGCACGCATCGAGGTTCAGACGAAGGTTCGGGTTCAAATGCGGGGTTTCGGATTCTATGTTTCAGTGTAACAATATCGTTTCTGAATCTTTTGTTTAACGGGTATTGGAAGACTGTAGCATGATTAATATAGGGACTGTTAAGGGAAATTGTTTCTGGGTCCTCAGACCCATGTATTAGAGTCACCCCAGCCTTCCCGGTCCTACGCATGTGCCGCTGTTTGGCTCGTTGGTTAGGGTATGTTAGGGTTCAGGGGCCGAGTTTGCTCCCCGTATTGCGCGTGCCCTACTCCATCTGCCGCTGCCGCTCCTACCCAAAGTTCTACACTCAGCCCCAGCGGCCAAAAATGTCCGAAAATCTGAACTTCGCGCTCGGGATTCTGAACACGACCGGTGCACCCGTCACCCTGCAGCTGAACTCCAAGAGTCCAAACATGGAGCCCTGTATGTCCCAAAGCCTACGCCCTGCCGCCTCATCTGCTCGAGGACGCCCTGGAGATGGATCGGCTGGGCCGGTACCGTAGGGGCCTCCGCCTTAATTAATTAGAATAGGGTTTTGGGGCCCGTGAATTATGCTATAGTTATAACAAGGAACCTCCTTATCAGGAACCTCCAAAATAGCATAGGTAATTATGACTGTAAGGCCCCTATTTATAGTATTAGATGAAAGAGACTTAGGGGACCTGGGGGGAATCAAAGCAGGTGCCTGGTCTTGAAGTTGCCTAACATAGGCACCAGCCGACTATTCAATGTCTAAAGGAGGGTTCTGAAGCTCCAATGAACTCTGCGATAGAGGCTCCAGGAACAATGATTACACGAGCAGATTGCAAGGGCTCAGGTTGGAAGCCTGAAGCACAACTTCCAGAAAGCCGTTGCTCCGTAGGCCCCCGGCAAACCTGCATGCATAACCAAGCCTCAACACCGAAACTCAACCCTAAACGCCTAAATCCTAAACTCTTTACACCCTAAGCTCCAAAACCCTAAACTCTAAACCCTAAAGCCCAAAACCCTCAACCCTAAACCCCAAACCCTAAAACCCCCAAACCCCTAAACCCTAAACTCTAAACCCGAAACCCCGACACTGAATCATAAGCCTATAATCGCCTGAGCCCAAAGTCTTGCAAATGAAGACGAACCTATCCGAAAGCTCCCCAATTCCCAAACACAGTCCGCCCAGCCTCCCAACTGCCCACAAGAAGACAGGCTTTTCTTTTGGCTTAGGGGTTTAGGGGTTCAGGGTTTAGGGGTTTAGGGGTTTAGGGTTTAGGGTTTAGGGGTTTAGGGTTTACAGTAAACCTCATAAAGTTGGAAACCTGATGAAGGCCAAATAGTGCCGGGATTCCCTATATATTACTCTTACGGATTGAGGCTATTGGGTTTCCAACTTTTGGGCTTCTACTGTAAGGTTTGGAGTTCAGGGTCTAGGGCTTTAGGGGTTTACGGCTTAGGGTTTGCAATGTAGGTAGGCTTTAGATGAGTTTCGGGCCTTAGGGTTCATGTCATGTCATATGCAAACTCTGGGCCCTAAACCCCAATCCGTAAACCCTTAAAAAATCTTTTAACCCTAAACCCTGAACCCTCGACCCGAACCCTGATGGCAGTTTGCCTCGAGGCCATCGGAGGCGACTACACGGCGAGCGCCCAGCCGCGCAGCAATCGATGCCGGCAAGGCCTCATAGTGGTCTTTAAACCGAAACGTTACCCTCAGTCTCAAACTATATATATATATGTATGTATACACAAAAGCCTCATTCATACATATATATATATATATATAGATATATAATATTACATATATATATATATGTACATGTGTATCTATATATATATATATATATATATATATATATATGCTGTATGATCTTTACACCGGAAAAATGAAGATATGAGTCTCTCAGTGGCGCGCAGCGACCCCAGCGCCAAGCTCTAGGACCTGCTTCGTTCCGCTAAGAGACGGGTCTTGCAATAAGGGATCGGGGTTTAGGGTTTAAGGATCAGGGTTCAGGGTTTAAGGATCGGGGTTTAGGGTTTAAGGATCAGGGTTCAGGGTTTAAGGATCGGGGTTTAGGGTTTAAGGATCAGGGTTTAGGGTTTAGGGATCTTGGGGTTTATAGGGTTTGGGGATCAGGATTTAAGGTTCAGGGTTTGGGGTTGATAGAGCTTTGGGTTTAGGGATCAGGGTTAGGGTTGCAGGTTTTGGGGTTCATAGGGTTTAGTGTTTAGGGAGTAGGACTCCTGGTACTCTTCCTCAGCCAGGATCCTTCGTGCCCTCAAATAGGAGAATATAGGCCCAAATAGCGGGAATTTAGGGTCTAATAGATTGTAGATGGAGGGTCTGGGAAGCTTTGTTTCGGGGTCCCTGTAGAAAGGGGCCTACAATTGCAACTTAGGCTTGAAGTTAAGGGCCCCTAATTGGGCGCCTTTCTGTGTGAAGGGCTTTTGTAACTCAAAGGTATGTGTGTGTGTATATATATATATAATATAGATAGGTAGATAGACAGATAGATAGATAGATAGGCTCTGGGTGCCTAGAATACATCTCGGCAGCTTTAACGCATACTTCTGTTTGGGAACCCTTTTGGAGCACTGTTGCAGTGCCTTGGATAGTGGCCACAATAACTAGACTAGACCAGGATCCGAGACGTATCGATATTACCTCTACAATCATATTGAGACCACAATAGAGGGATCATATAACTTTTTGTTTGATGCTCACCTCCTTTGTCTCTACAGCAGGTCTTTGTTTGTTTGGGGTGGTCCGAAAAACAACTGTAAACCACCCCCTAAAAGCCTGAGCCCTGACGCCGAAAGCCATAAATACTCTTGAAAGATCACGAACCCAGAACAAGCTCATCCCCTCAACCCGACCTATAGTATCCATTGTAGTTCCTGATCTTGGTATAACAATATGTATATTGAGGATCCTAGAAGGTAAAACCAAACAGGAACCATAATGGAGAGTGCAGTGCAGGTTAACCCTAAGCCCTAAACCTTAAACACTCAGCCCTCACGCCCTGAACGCCGTTGCGCAGGGGAGGCCGGACCTCCTTGTCGAAGAGCAGATCTGCCTCTTGGGCGACACTTGGATTTCGCAGCCCAAAGACCCGAAGACAAATTGAAGTTGCAATTCAGCTTATACTTTCTTGCAGGGATTTGGGGTTGGTTTTTAATCCGCCGAGGCCAGAGGCCCAGGCGTTTTGGTGGTTACCTCAGCCCTGCCGCTACACAGCCGAGGCGGGCGGCGTAGCGTTAAAATTAAAGTAAACGCTGCATGCGCTCTTTGCGTAACTTCACAGAGGTCCGCTCTATCAGGTCAGCATTTCGGGGCAGAGAGTGCTGAAGTTTCGTCCCTTGGGGTTTGGGGGTTTATAGTTTTGGCGTTACTCCTTGGGGCAACGGTGGGGAAGTTGAGTGCTTAGCGCTGCGGCTTCGGTGCCTAGGGCTTTGAGGCTTTGGTATGAATATGGCTTGAGATCGGATTCAGTTTCTGTTCTTGAGGACGAAGATGTTTCGGGCTGTGGTTTTAGCAAGGAGTTGGGCACTGAAGCAAGTAAACCCTCCAGGAATGCGCGACTCCGGAAATATGCCTGGACGGAGGACAAAAGACTACAGAAACAGATCAAAACCCCAAGGAGCCTAGGCCCAAGCTGAAGCCGAACGGCAAAAGGCTCACACTACCGAAGCCTGAATACCTAGACCCTCCAACTACCCTCGATTAGACCCTAAATGCCCATTATCTGCGGGCATATACCCCTATTTGAGGGTACAAGGAGGGTCCTGGAGGTTTTTGGAACTCAAGGAGTCACAAGCCTTCTCCTCGGCACTTCGGACCAGGTACTCCTTTAGACAATCACAAGGCGGTTCGAGGGGCTCAGGGTGTAGAGGTAGGATTTGGGATTTGATTTGGCGGCTGCATGATTTAGACATTACCGGGTTGTGAACGTGGTGGACTTAAACATTTTCGGTATTCGTTTCAGTTCAGGATTGACTTTCGGAGTGCGCGCACATAAAAGTGGGTCCTTAATCATCGAGTTAGTCGCATCACGGGTATTGCCACGGATTCCGGTTCAGAGGCAGCGACTTCGGATTTGTTGTTCTGAGATCAGTTCAGTGGCGCAAATTCCGGCTGAAATTCCGTGGCTTCTGAGCGCTGAAGATCTGAATCCCAGAACCCGCACATGCTTGCCACTGATCCCGAAGCAATACAATATGGGAGTTTCCGAAAAAGTAGGGGTGCCTTGTTTTGGGGTCCGTATAATATAAGGATCCTACTACTTCGGGTACTACATTAGGGTCCCCTATTTTCGGAAACTCCCATATCTGCAGAAGCTGGAAGTTTTCCCTCCAAACGATAAGCCCGCGCTTCAGATCCCTACGGGTGTCCGCAAGGAGCAGGCCGCCGGACCAGAGACGTGCTCCCGTGCCTGCTGAGATTGCTTACCCTAGCAAACATTATAATTTTGGCTGTTTCTTAGGGATTATAATAACCAAAAATTAAAAGATGTTTCTAAGTACCCCTAAGGCTTTGGGAGCTTGCATCGAGGTCTTTGGGGCTGAAGGTTCAAAACTGGTTTGACCGCGTTGTTGGTTTTGCATGGGGTTGGCTGTGCGACGACGGCGACGGCCACAAATACCACCGACAACTGCCGTCACGGCAACGCTAGAAGCAGGGTCGTCGTTTAAGTAGCAGTGGCAGTGGCAGTGCCATTGGCAGTGTCAGCGCCAGCAGCAGTGCCAGTGGCAGTGGTGGCAGCTTCAGCGGCAGCGGCAGTGCGATGGGTGGACCTACATCCAAGCCTGCGACAGGATTAAGGGGCTTTCGGGCTGCGTTTTCAGGGCATATAGGGTTGAAGGGGACACCGTGGCGTAGGCCATCAACAATGTGCCAAAAAGCACGAAGCCGAACTATTCACGGGGGCATTGTCCGTCACAACCACCGAACCCTGTACCTGAAAACTTAAGACGTGAAAGAATCATTTTCTTCCGGAAGCGTGCTTGGCCGATTCAAGCCGATCTGCGAAGAGGTCCGAAGCCCGAGCTGCTCTACATGTCTGCGGGCCGCCACCGCAGCGCATATCCGCCCCGCTGTACATCCCTACTCCTTAACGGCTTCGGGCTTAGGCGTCGTGGCTTTCGAAGGGTAAGTCAAAGGTGTCGCCCTCTCCACGAAACTCCCGAAGCCCCAAAAATAACCAGAGCGACTGTACAAAGGACGCCACGTCCTCTCCCGCGACTTACCTCGCGAGGAGAGGTCGAGCCGGTTCTTTGCTCTCCGGTCTTTTCAGGAGCCCCTGTCAAAAACTATCCTTTGGGTCAAGGGTCAATTAAAGGTGGGTTTAGGAATCAATTACATACCTTTGATGATATAAATCCTGCATTACCTTAAACACCCAAAACTATGGGAATTATGGCATATTCCTCATTATGGGTCATGCGGATTTACCTCATCAACCGTAGTGTGTAAAGGTAGAAGGATTAGAAGCTTGGAGCCTCAATGCATGTGGGTCTAGGGCCTCAGGGTTTAATGCTTCGGGGTGTGCGGAAGGGACCATGTCTGAGAGCCTTGCAATGAACATCTCCACATGGCTTCCCAAAGGCTCCAAGAGCTCACATGTCAAAGCTTTTAGGCCGAAAGACACTACTAGGTTCATTTTCAAAAACCGAAAACCTATGTTTTTAAAAAACGAAAGCTTTTGTGCTATTTTGAGCCTCAGGGCCTCAGGCTTTATGACGGGGGCTCAACCGAGAAGGCCATGTGCAGTCCGAGCTCACACGAGCTGCAGCTGACCTCAAAAATCCTAAGGGTCCAATTAGGGTAACTAACTACCTGCTGAAGGACTGATATAAGGAAATCATATTAACGAACTTAATCAATGTCGGCAACTTTGGACCCTTACGGACAAGACACTGGCATTAAGGAAACGAGAAACAGGCAAGGATCAAAATATTATGAATATATTATGAGTTGTGTTTATGCTTGCCTGGTTTAGGATCTACAGGCTTGTGGGGCTGGAGTAACCTACACCCCAAACCCTAGCTTTAGCCATGACCCCTGTCCATCACGACCTTATGGGAAGATGTCTCGCCGGCCACCCGTGCAAAGCTCCCCCCCGCATGATCGGCAGTTCGCAGCAGAGCTGGTGCAGAAAGAACTCTGCTCCTCCGTGTTGCAAACCCTCTGGGAATCCTTAGTTGCTGAGTTCATAAGCCCAAAAACGTGTACACTTTTAGTTTTATAGTGGGTAATTTTATCCCAAAAAGTGTAAAGTGTATCCACTCAGCTACTAAGAATCGGCACAGTCTGGATAGCAGCACTCCGAACCGGTAGATGCGGGTCCAGTAGATGTTGTGCCTTCGCGGACACAGGGTACAATGAATGATTTCAAGTCAGCGGGCCAGTTGCTTCCAACGCAGCAAACTCCAGGCACACAGCTCGCATATTTCCAGTCATGCCTAGTGTGAATTGATTTCCGTGTCCGGATTTAGGAATGCCCCTTCTTGGTCGTCGAGCCTTCGTTTGTCGTCGTGGCTGCGGTCGTTGATGAGACTGTCGTCGGCACTGTTGGGGTCGTAGTTGGAGGACCCCCAGCACCCGTGCACAGCTCCCCACCGCATGATCGGCAGTTCACAGCAGAGCTGGTGCAGAATGGACTCTGCTTCTCTGTGTTGCAAACCCTCCCGGAATTGGTACAGTCCGGGTAGCAGCACTCCGAACCGGTAGATGCGGGTCCAGTAGTCGTTGTGCCTTCGCGGATGCAGGGTACTGTGAATGATTTCAGCACCTCAGTAACTAGGCACACAACTGACACAGTTCCAGTCATGTCTAGCGTGAATTGGTTTTGGGTCCGAATCTCAGGAATGCCCCTTCTTGGTAGTCGAGCCTTCACTCGTCGTCGTGGCTGCGGTCGTTGACGAGACTGTCGTTGGCACTGTTGGGGTCGTGGTTGGAGGACCCCCGGCACCCGTGCAAAGCTCCCCACCGCATGATCGGCAGTTTGCAGCAGAGCTGGTGCAGAATGGACTCTGCTTCTCTGTGTTGCAAACCCTCCCGGAATTGGCACAGTCCGGGTAGCAGCACTCCGAGCCGGTAGATGCAGTACTGGTCGAAACTGTGCCTCGCGGGGTCTGTTTGAAATGGTTCTTGAGTGCTCCTGGGACTTGCTCAGTTCCTCCTTGGAACCCTGAACCCCGTAGGTGCAGTTGAGACTGTGCAACACTCCTAGTAGTAGTAGTAGTAGTAGTAGTAGTAGTAGTAGTAGTAGTAGTAGTAGTAGTAGTAGTAGTAGTAGCAGTAGCAGTAGCAGCAGTAGTAGTAGTAGCAGCAGTAGTAGGAGTAGTAGTTGTAGTAGTAGTAGTAGTAGTAGTAGTAGTAGTAGTAGTAGTAGTAGTAGTAGTAGTAGTAGTAGTGGTAGTAGTAGTGGTAGTAGTCGTGTAGTAGTAGTAGTAGTAGTAGTAGTAGTAGTAGTAGTAGTAGTAGTAGTAGTAGTAGTAGTAGTAGTAGTAGTAGTAGTAGTAGTAGTAGTAGTAGTAGTAGTAGTAGTAGGTAGCAGCAATAGCGGTACGACTACGACTACGACTACCACCACGACTACTACTTCTACTACTACTCCTCCTCCTCCTCCCGCGACGACGACCACGACGAACTGTGAGTCACCCAGGCCGGACATTTCAAGACGTGTTGGGCCGTGCCGGGATTAGCCACCGGGCTGCCTGTCGTCGCCTTGCTCGTGCTCCGAGTGGTTGTCTGCCTGAGGAGGGAAGTTTCTGTCGCATCCTAAGCAGAAGACAGTACATAACCTGGTCAGTTCAAGTGGAGCCCTTTTGGTGAGAACAAGAAGAGCATGTTACTCATCTAGTAACTAGTACGGACTGCTTTCTTCAACCCCCCGAAACTCTAAACCTTCGTCGCTGAGTTCGGGCCTGGGAGTCACAGTCACAGTGGTAGGCTTCCCTTCCGGCGTGCATCTGGGGCCTGTTCCACCGCACTTCCTGGGCTGCTCTGACGGGGTGTGAAAGCAAGAAGTCATACTGTAGACAATATTGTTTTGACCTGGGTTTTAAGTGATTTATACTACGGGTAGGAGTACGGAAATTTAACGCAAAAAAATCCGGAGGTCTGGAAGACCTGCAGTAAGTTGATCCCGCATGAAGATTTGCGAAACAAATGAAACTCAATACATCCCACCCGGCCCTGCATGATGATGACCTACTGCGAGTTGCCTTGAACCTCAAGCTCCCTTTACCCTGTGAACACTTAGCGGGCAGCAGTACAATGCAGCTATGGCACCGCACCCTACTACTTGGAGGATCATGGGACTTAGTAAGTGAGGTTATAAGTACCTTAATTGGGGATATAAGTAGTTATAAGTATGGTTATCTTAATTATAATCCTAGTCACTGCTTGAAAAGTACTCCAAGGCCATGCCCGGAGCCAAAGCCAATATGGGAGCCGTAAAATTTAAAGTAGGCTTGGGGCATATTACACAGAAAACTATATTCTGATAATGAACCCCAAAATAGTATTGGTGATTATTTGGGTGTGTATTTCGTTATTATAAGGAACCTCAAAAAAGGACGGATTATTATTTAGGCCCTATAGATCCTAAACCTTAGGCCCTGTACTAATCAGCGTGCGTCAACTGTAAAACTCCTCAGTCACTCAGAAGAAATCTGCTACGAATCCCAAAACCCTCAACCCTGAACCCCAAGTGTAGGCACATTTGGACTTAGAATAGGGGTTTGCGAGGGACTGGTAAGTGACTAGTATACTGGAACTTTACTGAACCCCTTTTTTATCTTTGGGAAAGGTGCTGTGGGAAGAAACGCCGCACATCCGGAGTGAGACTCGGCAAGAGCCTGCTCAGGGACAGCGTCCACTACTTTTCATTCGCCTAAACCCTCCTCACCTTAACCCGCCCCTGCAAATAACAACTGCCGTTTGGTGACAATCGACATGTCGGTTCAGCCAAATCAACGCAGCTCAGAGCGCTTCGACTCTGCTTATGCGGTTCCTGCATACCGAGAAGTACTGTAGTGCTCTGTCGTTTTTAGGGCTCGTTTGCGTCTGCGCACAGGTCAACGGGAAGGGTTTGGGTTCAGGGTGTACTGAGAAGCAGGATTCGAAGTCCGGTAATTAGATAGTGCTACTAGCGATTGCAGCCGCATGGACAGCTATATAGAGGCACTGGCAATTACGAAAGTTGGGTCCGTTGCAGATGTGGAAACAGAACCCGAACGACTCAACTAGAAAACAACCGTTGAGTCGTTCTTGCGCCAACACAAAACTTACAATATAGCTCCGTTGCCGATAGTAGGATTATAGGGTTTAGGATTTAGGGTTTAGGGGTTCAGGACTTCCGGTAAGGCCGGGGCTTAACCTCAAGCAAGTCGGAGCTCAACCTGGGGACCGAGACCATGCCATAAAGCCTCATATAGGGGCCTTAATAATTAGAATAGGCTGCTGGGGCATATCATACTATAGTTATCAGCTATATTATGGAACCCCCAAAATTTAAATTAAAATAGTATAGGTAGTTACTAAGGCCCCTGTATTACTTTGAAAAAGGCTAGAAGTGGTATGCCGCTCAAACTTCCGTGCAAAGGAGAGGAGACCACGTCGCACCATTGCACGCACACAAGCAAGAACCCCTACCAGTAGCAGCAATTGACCGAAGTTGACTGTCTTTGATACCAAGTTTGTGAAGTAACGGGTTCGAAGGGCCGCAGCGAAATAAAATGGAGGATTGAGGCCCCTCTGCATCAGAAGAACAGAGCGGAATCAACATTGAATCCCTAAAGGAACCCATAACGGCCCCCCAAACCCTAAACCCTGAACCCGAAACCCCAACTCAAGGAGCCTTTCGGCGAACTTCCGGCCACCCTCCCGAGTCGGATGTGTGCCATCCACGTAGTCGGAATAGCAGTTCAGCCAAGGAGCCTTTCGTGCTCTCTGGGTTTGCACAAAGGGCTTTTATAGGGCTGGTTTAACACGATGTCAATAAGGGTTCCACAACGATTTCAGAATATGGTCTTACAGGATGCTCTAGGGTTTCGTAAAGTCTTAGAACAGTTCCATAGGAGTTCTGTGAGGCATACGGGTATCCCAAGCCCTAACGCCCACACCCCAACCTCTCGACACCCGAAACCTGATGGCCGCCCCAAGTTAAAATCCTCTGAAGAGACCCTCTAGAATCTCATACTAGGTGTGGATTTCAACAGTCTCCACAAGTATTCAGATTTGGGGGTCTATATGAAGCAATAAGGGGAATTAAGTATTCTCCCACGTCGATACCTTACATATCTTGCTGCACTCAAAGGGGCTTTGGAATCCCGAGTCCCGAGGTATGGAGGTCTTCATCAACAACTAGCCTAAACCCTAACCCTAAACCTTAATTCTACCCTAAACCCTAAACCTTAATTATACCCTATACCCTAAACCTTAATTATACCCTAAACCCTAAACCTTAATTATACCCTAAACCCTAAACCTTAGTTATACCCTAATAGGCCCTAAACCCTAAACCGCTTCTGAGTTTTTTCCCGATCGGATCTGCCAACCTCCCGGGTGCCCGTGGTGTGGAGCCGGATCTTCTCATCTTGCTGTGCTCGAACCTTAGCCGCAACTTGGAACCAAAAGAAAGCTAGCTCATATCATTTCTAATCTCTTAGTTCATATCCTTGTTACTCTGTTGGTTCATATCATTATCAACCTCTTAGTTGACTGAGTTGTCCTTTAAGCCCTTTGAAAATTACTGACGATTATAGTTCTCTACAAACTAGAAGCTAAGTAATACTGCTGATGGACAAAATCCTGCATGACCCTAAGGACTCGAAGCTATAAGAACTATGGTATATTCCTTATAATGGGTAATGCAGGATTTTGTCCATCAGCAGTATCTTTATTAATCTCTTAGGTTACATGAGATTCGAGGAAAGATGAAACACAAATTCTAAGAGTAGTGAAGGAACGGCATCTGTCAAACCCTGGTACATGTCGTTGTACCTCCGAGGGCAGGGCGGGCTTCAGAATTTTGGCGCATGGGGGCTTTCTGAGTAGGGCTTTGGCTTGGCAAAAGTAGCCGTCTGTTGCAAAAGAGATAGACCCCTATCTTACAGGTCTAGCTGAAAAGGGCTTTATGAGAAGTTATCGAGCTTAACTCAGACAGTGGTCCACCTGGCCTGGACTCCGTGTCGCATGTGTAGGCCAGCGGCATGAGGCAGAGGATCAAGGCACCTGGCCATAAGAAATCTCGGGGTTTAGGGTTTAGGAGTTTAGAATCTCATATAGCAGTTTAGGAGCTTAGGGGTAAGGATATTCGTAGGTTGCTCCAATATAATACTGTACTGTTACGTGTTTTGTAGGTGTGTCTGGCTTAAAGTAATTAGGCTGCAGAAGTTGAGAAGAAAAGAGCGCCTGGATATTTGGCCCGGACAGTTGTCAGGAGCTCCTCGTAGCCGCCCTGGAATCTCGAAGCCGAAGGCTTGTTCCTGAGCTTTTGCTGTTCGATCGTCTTATGGGTCCCATGTTTCATAAACATAGTTTAGGGTTCAGGGGTTTAGGGTCTAGGGGTTTAGTGTTCAGGGTTTAGGGCTTCGGGAGAACATCAGAAGTATCTTTCCCAGTTTCTGCGCAGCTGCCTCCAGATGCCTTCAATCCGGCACTCGCCATGGTAGAAGGACCAAAACACAGCGGTGTCTATCCAGAGACTCCATTATCCCTTAATTGAGGAATACCTTAAACCATATTAGGGATCCAACTATAACTTCTATTCCTTCTTAATCGAGGGGTTTTATTAAGGGGTTTTGGAAGCTCTGGGTAGGCCTGAACCTACCGCCTTCCGTACTGAAGGACTTGCTAGCAAACGTCCTGCAAACTTGACCGCCAAAAGTAAACACAACCCTCTCCGTACCCGAAACCTCGAAAACCGAGAAACTACTCTACACTTGCCCTGCCAATGCCAACTCAGGCTCGGATTGAGGGGGATGTAATCGTTGGTGCCCATGTTGATCACCTGGCAGTGCGGGGGGGCGCTTGCAGAAGTGGCAGAAAACCCAATCAAAAACGCTATGACAAGACCTATACCAAAAGAGTAATTTTTGACCCGAAAACAGAAGGCTAAGAAAGCCCTAGGTTGCGCAGGCTCAGAGCCCTTCCCAATTAATTAATTTCTGCAGCTAGGCGCCACCACATCTGCCTGCCAGAGGGCGAAGTCCCAGGGCACAGCACAGCAAACGGACGAACTGTACTCCGAGCAGAGGAATCGATTCTGGACCGCGTGGAACTGGATCCCATAAGCCTTAGTGCAAGTCAGGCTGACCCTGCACCGTTTAGGGGTTCTAGGGCTTTAGGGTTTAGGGTCTTGGCTTGTGGTTACGGTATGTGCAACGGCTTTCTCACGTCCTGGGGCCCGCTAGGTATTGTTCGGCCCTAAGTGACTCTAACACTTGGGAGTCACCGGCACAGGCGACGTGCGATACAGGATTCTTCGGGCTGAAACAGATTGCGACCAATCATTGCATCCTCAAGCCTGACCCGCAATCCTAAAACAGCCCTGATTCAGCGACAAGCCCAACCCGAAATCCAAGAGGTTTCTGTAGGGTTTGGTTCAGATGCATGTTGGACTCCTCATCTTGCTATCTTCTTCGTTTGATCTTCGATTGCAGCTTACACCCCTCGGCCTACCGCAGGGGTCCGAGCCATTGAATGGCATATTTCTGGTCCATAATCATAAATACACCAGGGATTTGGGGTGATGTCATCATACAGCTATCATCAGGTGCCCTGGGTGGTAATGACTTACATTATGAGAGGGGTTCCCACATTAGGGTCAAGTTTTGGGAACCCCCAAAGAAGGCATCACTCATCCAAGACGGAAGCCTAAACGGGAACCTAATTTAGAGAGAGCGCCCACCTGCCCACCCTCGGCATATTCTGAAGCCCAAAACATATCGGAGTCAAACCTGCAACAAATTTCCATGCAACACTAAACCTCTAAACCCTAAACCAAAACCATATACCGCTCAATCCTAGTTAAACCCAACCCCAAGCCCCGAAAACCCAAACCCTAAGTTCAGATGTGTAGTCCTTTGTTTGGGGGGGGTTCTTCTTTCAAGCTTCAACTCTTAGGCAGGTGGCCTGGTACGGGAAAATCCCAATGCCCGTGCGTGCGACGGCGCGCCAGTCTGCTGTGCCCCAAGCGTCGGCCAAATGACGATCCCAGGTCTGAAAGATATCCTGGCTTAGGGTTTAGGTTTGTTTTTTAAGTGTTTAGGGTTTAGGGTTTCGCACCTAGGGACTTAGGGTTTAGAGTTCAGGCTTCTATTTTGAGCTCTTTTCCATGAGGCCATAGAAACGCCGCGAAATAGACAGAAGATGGCTTCCGGGGTGGACTCTGTTCTTGTTTGGGGTTTAGGGATTGGGGCTCCGCGTTTAAGACTTACAGATGAACGCGTTTCCTGGCCCTGGGGCTCCTGCATTGACTCCGAAGCAAAAATCCGACCCTCAATCTTGAAGCCTCCAAGTCAAAACCCACAACTACGGTTGATGATATAAATCCTGCATTACTTTAATGAACCTAAACTATGGGAATTATTGGTATTTTTCTTAGTATGGGTAATGCAGGATTTATACCATCAACCGCAACTCCCAAACTAAAGCCTAAACCCTGAAACTCTGAAAACTGCGCCCGATGAACCCCGGGCTCTATGCCCTGACAACAGCTGCATGCATCGAACACGGCCTTTAAAAACCCTAAATCCTGATGAATCCTAAACCCTGTAAAACTGTAAATCCTAAACCCTAAACCCCAAACCCTGATAAGTCCTTACTAAATCCTAAACCCCACATCCTAAACCCTAAACCCAATCCCCTAAACCCAAATAATCCCTCCGACTCCTCGCCAGTCTGGTTCTGGTTGATGTAGGACCCCGCACTGTTGAGAACCACCCAGCCAGCAGTGATGGAGTCTCCTTTTCAAGGCCGAACCCGTCGACTACAGAAGGGGCCTTAATGATTAGACTCGGGTTCGTTTTAAAAGGGGTTTATGAAGAAGGGCTACTGTAAGGGATCTATGAAGGTACTATAGTACAGGGGCCTTCATAATTAGAATAGGGTTTTGGGCTCCTTAGTAGTATAGTCATAATAAGGAACCCTATGTCCTGGCTGATGAGTCAACTTGTGGTTAGTTCGTGCATTCATACGCCGATCTTGTGGTTAGTACTAACAGCCATGTCAGGGGTACCCTGGGATTCAGGTTGTAGAAATCTGGGTTCAGAGCCGCCCGAAGTCTGGCTTCTGCCTCTGAGCATATCACCCCCCTCCCCCGACCCCCGGCCCCAACGTGAAGCATGCAGAATTTAGAATTTGAACTCTTGAAAGCTTGGGGGGTTCGGGCTTTGCGTAGAAGCAAACCAACCCTCAACCTCGACAACTTAACCTGTCGACACCCTGAGGGCAACATGTCAGGTATCTAAACTCGAAATCCCAGATCATGGAACCCCAAATGCCCTAAACACTAAACCCCTAAATCCTAAAATGCCGTAAGCCCTAACGCCGTAAACTCCAGCAGCAGGGCCTATGAACTCCAAGCGAAGTTGGTCATCCAAGCCTCAGTTCGAGTTTCTGGGTGTCCCCGGTGAATCCCCGAAAAGGGCTTTGAAGGGCGTTCCTATGGGTTCCTATAACGCTTCGTATACGAGGCTGTTGAGCCATCCCATCTGTTGACAGCTGCTGCAAGTAATACCAAAGACCCTAAACCCAAAGCCTTCATCAGACAACGCACTCTCAAGTCCTATGCCTTAGGGTTTAGGGCTGTAGGGTTTCAGGGTTGAGGATTGAGGGGTTTATAGGGGTTTAGGGCATAGTATCTGGTTCCTGAACCCTACTATTCGGGCACTCGGACGCTTGGGGAAATGAAGCCAGGGTACTTGGTGGCTCCAAGAACTGCGTCCCTGCATCCACCAGAAGCTCCTGCAGCCAAGATGCCTATAGGGTGTAGGGTCTTCCAGCATCGACAAAACCTAAAAAATAGCATGCTACGATCCCACGACTTGTGTACTGGTTATCCTGAACCCTAAACCCTAAACCAATTCGAGTCAAAAAGCTTTCAAGGGTTCGGAGCTTTGGGAAATAAGCTGCTCGAACGAAAAAGCCTGTAGCTCGAGATGGCTTCCAGTTGCGGTTTTGGGTTTCGTTCCGTTTAGGCTAAAGGGCTTTTGGATCAATGGTAGCTTCTTGTATCAGCATCCTCCAGGTACGAACTTCCCTCAAAACCTGACACCGCATGGGACTCTGATCAAGACAGCTAGGGGCCACAACACGAACAGGTCACCGACAAGTCTGACACTAGGGAACTAGTTATCGCCAATAACTCCGATGACACGTCGCACTGCTCTTGTCGGGATGGAAATTGAAAGTTCGCCCCTCTGGGCTCCTCCAGTCTAAACTAAGGCCCTCTGGTTGGCCTCTTTGTTTCTATTCTGCGACCCATGAGAAAGAACACTAAGAACTATGCCCGGGGCCTCCAGGATAGTCTTGCCGTAAAAGGCTTCGGTGTTCCTGCCGCACCAGATCCTCCGTTCCACACGCACAGTTACAAGTTTCGGCCTTGGACTTCACCGCTTTCTTCTGTGATCCCTGGGCCCACGGCTACGGTAAGCAAGACCACGACAAGTTGGAAGTCCTCAAAAGGCAGCAACCACAGGCCTAAATGTGAACAAACTCCATGCCTGAGACCTAGTTCAACTGCATCCCCATACCCCTAACCTGTGTTAGAGGGTCCAAGTGCCCCTCTTCTACTTGCACGAAAGGTGCTACACGGCAACTCCCTCGCAACTCACATGGTGGCTGCATGTGGCCATAAATGCCCAAGAAGGTGGTATCTTGGATTTAGAGTGGTAGTAGCCGTAGTTTAGTATATCGGCCAAGCGATGACTACTAGGCACAGAAGCCCTCCCTAAACCCTAAAGCCTACACGCCCTGAACCCTCCACCCTCAACCCTAAACCCTAAAACCCTGGCCCTAGAACCCCTAAACCCTAAACCCCTAGAGTCCCTCAACCCCAAACCGTCGGAGCCGTCCAAGTGTCGTATGTGTCTCTGCCGTCGGGAGCCCGGTGGCAATGACCATGTCACCAGTTTCATGTTGCAGGACTATCCTTGCGGGGCTTAATATAGGGGCCTTGATAAAAAAAAATAGGGTTTTGGGTCCCGCTGTACTATAATTATAACAATAAGGAACCCGTACACTAGTATAGGTAATTATAAGGGCCTCTATATTACGGCTTGTGGGCTGAGGGCCAGAATGGGGTTTGAGTTCGGACTGAATGCACGGTCTGGGGTGTAAGATGTCGAATAACAGTGTAGAGTTGAAGCTTGAAGAAGAGGGTGTCGGGTCTAGGATGCAAAGTTTGGGTGTCAAGTCTGGGGTTGACATTGGTTTCAGCTGTATGGGGTCATTGTTTTTTGATGTTCTCGGGCACGGAGAGTATGATTGGCCAATTGGCCGAAGCCACAACTTAATTGTCTTCCGTTGACGCTTGCACTTCTGGCTTGCAGGGTGTTTAAGTGTATCGAAGGCCTTAAAAGAGCCGTTCACCATGAACCTCCTCGGGAAGTTTACTTCGCAAAATTCCTGTATCCCCGGCACCACATATCGGGAAACCCGCCAAAACACGACAGTCCTCCCAACCCTATGCCGCGAACTTTGGCCCGACAGCCACAGAACCTCAACCATAACACCTCTTGGATCCAAGTTGCTCTCTGCCATTGATACGGCAGGTGTGGTACATCTTCACACGATACGGTCGGAGCTTTGCAACCAACCTCGGGCACAAGCGTTGAAGATGTAACAGAGGCGTATTGGACGATAACTGCAGGTATCAAAGGTAACATGGCTTTACTGAAGTGTGCCCCAACACCCGACTCCAATGATTACAAGACCTGCAACCCTACGAGATCATCTGGAAAACGAGTAAGGCTGACTCTCAGAGCTATAGCTGGTTGGTTAAGGAAGTGGCAAATCGTTCCCACACCCCTATAAAACAGCACAGCACCGAACAACCCTGCAAAGACCCGAACAAAAGCTATGCATTATTCAAGGGTGTACTGTTGCCGATTTGCCTGTAAATCCTTCCCCCCAAAACCCTGAACCCTAAAGCCCTAAACCCTTAAACCCTAAAGTCTGCACCCCAAAGGCCTAGACAAAGCCCTGGCTGCGGCCCACCTCGAGGAGCCCTGGAAGGTCACCTGGAAGCCGACCTCTTGGGCAACAGAACGAAGAGCACGGTTAAGGTTTAGGGTTTAGGGTTTAGGGCTTAGGGAAACAACAACGATGGTGTACGCTAATACTCATACCAAGAACCGCCGCCGTAGCGGTAGCAGTAGCAGAAGCGGCAGTAGTAGAAGAAGTCAAGGAAGAAGTAGAAAAAAAAATAGTCGTCGTCGTCGTAGTAGTAGTAGTAGTAGCAGCAGCAGTAGTAGTAGTAGTAGTAGCAGTAGCAGCAGTAGCAGCAGTAGTAGTAGTAGTAGTAGAAAGAAGTAGTAGTAGTAGTAGTAGCAGTAGCAGTAGTAGTAGTAGTAGTAGTAGTAGTAGTAGTAGTAGTAGTAGTAGTAGTAGTAGTAGTAGTAGTAGTGGTAGTAGTAGTAGTAGTAGTAGTAGTAGACAATGATCCGAATACATATACCAGCAGGAACTCGAATACACATACGAAAACAGTAGTAATAATGGCCATGGTAACAATACTAGCAACAGTAATGATACTGAGATCATGAACTTGCCAGTACATGTTATGTTGATGTGAAAAACATTGAGGGACGCTTGCAGCACAAGACCCCCCCCCAAATAATAGGTGGATAGTTTTGCATCACAGTGACTGTTCCGACACGATGTGTGGAAGGATGTCGAAAGCAGAGCATCATAACAACCTGAACCTTAGAACCTGAGGCCTCTAAATCCTGTCCCCTGACCTATAGTCTTTCAGCCCCGTACGTTAGGATGAGCCGTGTCTTCGAGGGGCGGTGTAGGCTCAACAGCCGAAGATGCTGAACTTGAAAATCTCAAGTCTTGAGGGCACAGCTAAAATGTTGAAAACAAGCATCCCCTAGCTGTAACTTAGCTTTAAACCTGAACCCGAAGCCTTACCCCAGGGCTCAAAGTATACAAGTAGTACCTACTTTGGGGTCTAAGTCTATAAACAATACCTACTTTGGGCTATTTGGAGCCGCAGGCTTACAGCCGTTCCCTAAGCCCTAAACCGAAGCTTGCAGCCAAGCTTCGGTGCCCCAGGACGAATGCATGGCACCACCCTCCGACCACCAGCGGCCGATGAAGGGCACCTAGCCGGAAGCGCCGGCTTGGGTCTAAGGTTTGGGATTGATGGCGGTGGGCATTTTGTAGTTGCTTTGGTGCAGTTTCGGAATCTAGGGTAAAGGTTTGAGATTCGGAGCTTTCGCTTGAGTTTATATAGGGCTTAGGTGTAAGACTTTTTGGGTAAAGGTATATAGCTTTCCGACCAAGTCTGTCTTACAGGTAGTGGGACCTACCGGGTTGGAACGAAGCTCAGATCGTCTGAGTTGCTGAGTTCTGTTTAGCTGACCTCGGACCCTCCAAGTAGCATTCCAAGGTAACGGGCTCAGGATGTGTATAGCATGCGGCTTGGGGTCTCGAAGACTCATGCTTCCGGTTAGTGAGGTGTTTTTCCACGTTTCATGGTGTCTTTATACGGGCTACAAAAGGGCTTTGTAGGGCTCCACATCGACATACTCCTAAACTCCGCCGGGTTTCATAGTTTTATATACGGGCTACAAAAGGGCCTGGTAAGGCTTCAAATCGACATATGTCTAAACTCTGCCGCCTTCCGTGACATATGCTAGCCGTTCAATCAGAGGCGATTCTGACAAGTATCCATACCCTCTCACAGCTTCAAGGAAAATTCCTGCCTAAGCCTTTCAATACTTGGAAGGAACCTGAAACTGCGGAGTCTGACTTCAATCTGCCTTTAAAGCGCTAACGAAGCAGCCTGCCTTCTCGAGGGGATAAGAGACAGTGTTCGCCTGTGCAGCTGCTACCCTAAGGCTTCAAAGTAGTTCCTTTGTGGGGTTCATATATAGAATCCTATATGGTAATCCCAAAAAGGAACTACTATGGAGCCTCTGGGTAGTTTCTTGAGTTTGGGGGGTTCGGCATCGAGTGGTTTGCGGGTTTGGGGCTGCGGGGGCTAAAGGCTACAGGGGCTGGGGATAGAACGTCGTGTTCACGGATAGGATTTACCTTAAGCCGGAATAACCTACCTTTGTAGGGTTCCTTATTATGATTTCCTTATATATGTCCTTAAAAAGGTAGGTTTTTCCGGCTTAAGGTAGGGCTTAGGCTAAGGAACCCAAACCGTAAGAAGCCAAGCATGGGAGAACACCATGTGAGACCCTATGCCTTAGGGGCTTGGGGTGCTGGCTCTCACCGTTCATGGTTTGAGGCGTTGGCGCTGAAATACTCTAGATTGCTGGGTTATTTTGAGCTATGGGAAAGGATTTGAGGCTCGTTTGGGTAGGCTGATCTGGTTTTTTTCCGAAACGTCAAGGGGGTTTGGAAATCCAAGTGGTCAGATTGGCGGTCTGAGGCTTGAAGGTTCAGAGCTGGGGAGATCGGGATAAGGCATGGGACCATCTTAGCTCCACCCTCTCGCGCCGTTAGAGCCCCGAAACAGAACACGCCCTTTGCTATACTGAACTTAGAACCCTAGCAACAATTTTAAGTTTAGCTGTTTCTTAGGGATTATAATAACCAAAAATAAAAAAATATTTCTAAGTACCCCTAAGCTTTCTGCCTGGGCCGCGTGAAGGAACACCGGCAGCCAGAGCAGCGCATGGCAGAAGCCGAACATGGCGCACGAGGTCACAGGAGAGCGAGAGAAGGGGACGGAAACAACTGCCAGAGCCCTAGTCTGCGTAAGCTCTGGGTTTTTGGGGGAGTGCAAAGTGGCGGCCTCAAAATGATTAAGATAGGGTTTTTGGGGTATATCGTAGCGAAATCATGACCAGGAGCGAGGAATAGTATTCCAAATTATTTCGCTCGTTTAGCAGGAAGGGATTCTGAGATTTTGGAGCTTCAGGTTGCGAGTTCTTAATGAGACTCCCAACCCTAAACCCAAACCCTAACCCCTGAACCCTACTGTTGATGACAAAAATCCTGCATTACCTTAGGATCCTAAGCTATGGGAATAATGGTATATTCCTTACTATGGGTAATGCAGGATTTAGATCATCAACCGCTTCGGGTTCAGGGACTCTGGCTGTTTGTGTTGCACTGCTTCACCCCGACGCCCAGCTTCGAAGCTTAACTACCATTTGCTTAAGAAACACACAAAAAATAAAAATAATAATCCCTATATTACACCCATAAGGAATACATATTTTTTATTTTTTGGGGGTTCTTAAGCAAATAGTAGTTAAAACCCGAGGTCTAAACCCTGAGCCCCAAATCCCATAATTCCGAAACTCCAACCCTCAACTGAAACCCTAAACCCTAAACCCTCAGCGGCTGAAACGATCTCGGACCTCCACCGGAAGCCACGCGTAGAACCAGCTCGATGGCTATAGGATCCTCTCGGCCTTGGTCCGCAGGTGCTTAAACATTAAGGGGTTCCTTTTAAAGGGGTCTATAAGGATTACTATAAGGGTTTCGAATATAGGGCCTTAATAATTAGAATAGGGTTTTGGGGGTCCATGATTCTATAAATGTAGTAAGGAACCTCCAAAATAATGGGTAATTGGACCCCACATTACTCTTCATGTTCTTGCCAAGGTGTTTAGTTAAGGCTGCGTCGAAAGCTACATGCACCCGTATAGTAGAGGCTGCGGGATTGCAAAACTAAAGCCGAGGGCTTAGGATCGAGCTGGAGCGAATGGTTCATTCGATGCCCTACTGGGAGGGTCGGGGGACTTAGTAAGTAGGTACTAAGTAGACTTATAAGTACCCTAATAGGGACCCTAAATAGGGGTTACGATACCTATAAGTCCCTAAATTAACTACTTACTAAGTCCCCCGACCCTCCAAGTACGCTTGCAGAAAGCCTGCATGGGACTTCATGCAGCATTTAAGGCGCCGAGCCCCGCACCCAAACGGAGCGCGAGAGAACCGACCTCACGCTTAAGAAGGCTCGGCTTCGAAGGCCTATGTTAGAAGGTTTTTTTTAAGGGTTTATAGAGTTTAGGGTTTATTGTTAAAAATATACGGTTGTTTTAAAGGTTTATAGAGTTTAGGGTTTATTGTTAAAAATATACGGTTGTTTTAAAGGTTTATAGAGTTTAGGGTTTATTGTTAAAAATATAGGGAGTTCAGGATAAATTTGCAGAGTGTTATGTTATAGTGCTTTGTTCGATGGTTGAGGAATTCATGGTCTGGAGGTTGCTGTTGGCATCGAGCATAGGGCCAGCATGCTTCGTCAAAGTGTCTGGCACTTGCGTATAGTCTAGGTCAGGTTGTATGGTTTAGGATTTTCGGGCTTTGGGTTGGGTACGGCGGTGTTCATGTGATCCCCACTGCAGCTGGAGAAGCCCTAAACCCTGAACCCCAAGACGTCATAAAGCCTGAACCTACTATTTGCTTAAGAACCCCCAAAAAATTAAAAAATATATTCCTTATAGGGATAATATAGGGATTATTATTTTTATTTTTTGGGGGTTCTTAAGCAAATAGTAGGAACTCTTTTCGGCTCACCCAGACCTGCTCCCCGTCGCTGTCATCAGCGCTTGAGACGCTCTCCTCTGCGGCCACTTCGGTCTGCTGTGGGGGCAAGATTTAGGGGGTTTAGGGTTGGGGACCAAATGTGGGTGAAGCCATGTAGGATTTCAAGATACTATTGACTATGCGAAATTTTGTAGATGACAGGTAGGAATCCTACTGTGCTCGAGGAACTTCGGCATTGGATTGAACACTGGTTTTGCGGTTGCAAGCTCAGGCGGCCTCATTCAGCAAATTGGATCTAGGGTCTAGGGTTTGGGGTGTCCAGCAGCGCTGGCTCGCCGCTATGCCGGCAGTCGGGTTTGGGGAAGCGGGTCATGATAAGATGAACTGTTCCCCTAAACCCTAAACCCTGAACCCCACTGGATATCATAAGGGTTCGAGTTTGAGGTCGATATGATTGCTTAGCACCAGCCCACTCAGACTCCTCGAGCCCAAAGCCCGAAGCACTATGAACTCCAAAAGCCCTAGGATCCAACAATGACAACCGAAAACATGAGCCCAAACCCTAAACCCGAAGAGAAGCCCTTAACGGAATCGTCACAGGATCAGTTCATGTGCCTGCACTATTAAGGCCCCTATCCCACAGAACCCTACTATAGATCCCCTATAGACCCTTTAAGGACCTCTTCAAGGATGGTCCCCTAAACCCAACTCCGCGTTGCACCCCTCCTCTGCATCATCCGTGCCAGTCTCAGGGGCCGGGAACCTCAGGCAACCCCAGGACACAAGCTGACTTCAGCTTTCGGCTAAAGGGGTTCTAGGCTTTAGGGTTTAGGGTACCCAGACGAAACCAATGGCATAGGGGTAATTAGAGCAACGCTCCTTCAAGGGTTCTATACGGGTTCTTGGGTTCCCCAGGGGTTCTATGCAGGTTCTATAACGGGTAAAAGGCTTTTGGCTTCCAGGTTTAGACTTGCGAGCCCTGGGTTTTGGTTCTCGGCACACGACTTAATTGGGTAAACGGGTGTTGCGTCAGATCGCGCTGCCACCTACATAGCACCAGAAACCCAAAGCCCGAATAGAGGGGCCTTCATGGTTTGAATTGCTTTGTGGGTGTATTACTATTGCATACATATGTTAAGGAAGCCTACGCAAATGACACTGGTAGGTATTCAGCCTTCTATACTAAGCGAATGATTCCGAATGACCTCCTACTTCTTGGACTCTGCCTCTACAACTCGGAAATCCGCCACATCCCGCTAAAGCTCTCTAGAGCCCTAACTCAAGCCCTTTATGCATCGAAACCGTCCATTGAAGCAGGCTTTTTGCACGACGATCTGCTGCCCAGACCCCGGGAGGATCTAGGAAGTAGCTCCCCTAATTTGGTGCCCTATACCACTAAGGGTACTTTAAACCCCATTAAGGGATCTGCTTTTTGGATCCTCCAAAGGGGGTCTGGGTGCTGGACGATGGCGAAGGCTGCACAAGCATCGGAGCTGGACTCTGAACCGCGTCGTTGGCTTCACGCTCGGCACTTGAGGATTGCATAGCTCTTAATCCCCAAGGGTCCAAAGGACCCAAGAATTAGATACTCGGCTTTAGGATAGTAGTCGTGTAGGTTAGGATTTTGGGGAGTATATGATTATTAGGTACTTGGACCCTTGGGGAATCTTTTAGTCGCAGAAGAATTGCTGTCGATTAAGCTATTTTGGAGATTTGGAAACATAACATATAGTAGTAGCATTGTTCCCTGGACGTTGCGAGTGCGGTGTGGTTCAGATTCCGCCGTCCTGGGTCATTTTGCCCAGTGCCGCCTCAGGCGGCGTTTACCGGGCATGGGTGTTTTGCGATGTTCCCCCTTCCCACTAGGCAGTTGGAACTCATCGGTCGAATCTAGAGACTACATTCGGTCCAGGTCAGCTGGCTTTTCCGCTCTTGGGTTTGAGGCTTTCGAGTTTACTGTGGCTTTGTTTACCCAACCCATAATACAGGGCCTTAATAACTACAATAGGTTTTTGGAGTATGTTATACTGTAAGGACCCCCCCCTCAAAAAAAGAGCATTGTATTGGTAATTATTTGGGCTTCTATAATAAATGCCAGAAGTGCTGGCAGGTCCCGACTTCAGGAGACTTCTTCGGCGCAAGTGCATTTGAGAGTTTCCGAAAAGTGGGGGTACCTTTTTTCGGGGTCCTTCTAACAAGGATCCTACTATTTAGGGTACCATATTAGGGTCCTCTATTTTCGGAAACTCCCGTATAGCAACCATAAGGCCCACTCGAGTACCCCCAACCGTGCATATACCGACATAAGGCCTGCCTAAAGCCTTTACGGAAATCCAGGAACATCGCTTGGCTGCAATCCGCCTGAAACACTAGGTGTTACGAGCAAAGGAGGATGCCAACACAGGTCCTCTGGCAGTTACAGGTGCTCCTTAAGAACTGTGCTTGACAACCACACTTAAGAATACGAGCTCGTGGTGTAGAAGCGTTGTGTTTGGCTTGGCGCCTAATCTAAGAGAGAAGATTCGCATGTCCCTTCAGAGCCTGCGTGGACAGTACTGTTCGATTAGGGGTGCAGGCTTCAGCATCAGGGAGGGATGGACCTTCCAGCCGCCAGCGGCTCCACCGCCACCATGAGGGCCAGTAAGAATCGCACCATCAAAGTTTGGAAAACCTTATACCACTAAGGAAGTTCTGTTGCTTGACATCTTGGCTGCCGCATCTTGTCGAATTTATGTAAGCTCCATAACATTCCCAAAGGAGGCGCTTTACTTGCTACTATAGGGGCCTTATAATTGCCTATTTTTGTGGGTTCTCTATGATAAATAAAAAAGATTATACACCCCCAAAAAACCATTCTAGTTTTAAAGGCCCATGTGTTGTGTCCGCCTGCTCCTCTTTCTCACCTTCTCTGCCTTCTGGTGCTGCCATGTTCGCTGCTTCTTGTCACAAACATTCTGTATATCTCGCATTAAGTCAGTGTCTATACACTTCAGGCTATTCTCATCACTAGTCGCCGGCATCCTCGCACATACTTCTCAGCTTCCTCTCGGCCGCTTCCCGTGCACAATCTTCGATCATCTCCTCGCGGAACCCTAAACCCAAACCCTCAACCCTAAACCCAAAACCCTAAACCCTGAACCCTAAACCCTAAACCCTAAAAAGCCCTGAACCCTGAACCCTCAAACCTAAACCCCAAACCCTCAACCCCAAAACCCTCAACCCTAAATCCGAAACCCTCAACCCTAAACCCCAAAAAGCCCTGAAGCCTAAACCCGATCATCGCCTCGCGAAGTCGCCGGTAGAGGTCCTCCCTTGAGAAGCAGAAGACGAAGTCCAGCCCCCGTCCTCGCACGTCTGGTGTCTGGGCTTAGGAGTTCGGATCAGGGGTGCAGGGCACGGGGTTCTATGTGTGTGTGTGTGTATATGTATAAATAAATAGACAAGTAAATAAATAAATGAATAAATAAATAAATATATATATATATATATACATACATGCATACATATATATATATATATATATATTAAGTATGCATGTGTATATATATATATATGCCTGAAATAGTTGCCAGCAAGGTTGCAAACCATCCCCTGGTTTACAAGCGACCAGACGAGCAGGAAAGGACGACAACAAAAAAAGGATGCCCAAACAAAGTAGCGACACTGCGAGAGAGACGACTTCCCAACACCTCAGATCTTGCAACTTACCTGACCCCCCCCCCCCCCCCAAAGTAGGTAAAACAATGATCCAAAACCCATAAACAGCTTGTGTTCTACATACTTTGGGGGTCCAGATATGTAGCCCAAAGCCTGAATGCGGACCTTTGAAGCCAGGTACATATCCTTTTAACCGGGTGATCGCAGAGTGAAGAGGAAGAGAGCGTGCACGCCTAACCACGAAGCCTGAAGCCCCGAATCCAGCCCGAATCGATCCTGCAACAGAACCAACTGAACTCACTACTTAGGAGGATCAGTGTGCTTCGCAAGCAGCCCTTTTTTATAAGCATTCCCAACAACACTACTTATAACGTCAGTTATCGCGTGCTTATGAAATCTCCGACTCATTGAAGCAGAGCCTCAACCAGAACATCTGAAACCGTATAAGTCCTGTTCATAGCTGATTATATTCTCCTCAGACCCGGACGCCCTTCACCCTCGACCTAAATCGTAAACAACGCTGAGCTTTCCTGGACTTTAAGCCTCAAGCGCTGTAGAACCCGTAAAATTGAACATCCCATTAAACTATACTGAACTTGGGACCCTAACAAGAAGCATAACTGTAGCTTTGTGTTAGGGATTATAGTAATCCCGAATTAGGTAGGAGGTATTTCTAAGTACCCCTAAGGCCTCTAAGTAAAGCCTCTATAGCAAGCCGCTGTAGATCCTCATCCTAAGTACCAAACAGTATGTACCATGGCCCCAAAGTACCTATATATAGGTAAAGTACTATGGCCCCAAAGCACCTACATATATATATATATATATATGTATATATATATATATATATGTTTATATATATATATATATATATATATATGGGCAGTAGCACTTTCGGCCAAGCATCTTTTCAGCTCCAACTTCAGAGCCTCCACACTGGGCCCCGGCAAGTTCTCTGGGCCGGCAGGGCTCCGACCCGCGCCGTCGAAGTCCCTGACTTCAGGAAGAGAAGGGTTTCGGGAATCTCTAAACCCAAAACCCTGAACCCTAAACCCTGAACCCCAAACCCTGAACCCTAAACCCTATATAACCTAAACCCTAAACTCTAAACCCTATAAACCCTAAACCTCGAACCCTAAACCCTAAACCGGGTTCACGGGGTTCAAGGTTTCAGGATCCTGAAGGGTCAGGTCTAGGATGGCTTAGCGTAAGGGGGTTGAACTCGTGGTTTAAGGCTTTATCAGGATTCGTGGGTTTAGGGGTCGGAGTTTCGGGGGTTCAAGGGCTTCGGGCTTTGGGGTTTAAGGCTTGCGTGTGTTTGAGGGTGCCCGTACGGGTGTCGAGTTCGGGTGTGGGGCTTGGGCGGGGTTTTGGGGGGTTTGGGGCGTGGGTGTATAGGGTTTAAGGATTCAGGGTTTAGAACTACCCCCCTGAAAGAGTTGCCTCTCGATGCTTGGCAGAGGCTCACGACCCAGCACGGTGGAAGCCGGGTGGTTGCGCTTTGGCAGCCAAGAGGTGCTCGCCATCCTTCGATGGTCATGGGGCTGGGTTGGGCTTAAGACGATGGGCCTCCAGGATTAGAGTTTAGAGCTCAGTAGTAGTAGTAGTAGTAGTAGTAGTAGTAGTAGTAGTAGTAGTAGTAGTAGTAGTAGTAGTAGTAGTAGTAGCTGTGGCAGCGGATTGCAAGGGAGCTCAGAGCTAGAAAACACAAAGCCGCATAAATGCTGGATCTATCCCGGCCTTGTCACTGGCGGAGGAGCCTCTGCAGCATTCTTTGCAGGGCTCAGCGGAGGCTCCACGTTCCGTGGTGGGGACTCGTGGACACGGGGCGACTTCTCGCGCCGCGGCAGGGCCGCCGCAATGTGCGTTCGAGGCTCCGGTGGCGAAGCAGGAGAGGGCCTTGGAAGCGGCCGTCTCAGCGGTGAGAGCGACCTAGAAGGCCTTGAAGCACTGGGACTTTGCCAGTGCCCTTGGGCTGTAGCTGCGGTTTGAGGCCATATCCGCCGAGCAGGAACTGGTGACGCGTGTCGGCTTTGGGGCATTGGAGGAGGGCTGAAGCTCCCAAGGCGACGCGGCGCGAAGTGCTGGTGTGAGCTGAAGATCGGAGACTCGGGCTGCAGAGGCAAAGGCACAGGCACCCCATACCTGGGTTCTTGTTAAGGGACTTAAGGGACTTAAAATAAGTTACCATAATAAGGAAACCATATAATCTACTATAGATTCCTATAATGGTAACTTGAGCTATAAATTCCTTAACAAAAACCAGATACCCAAAGCCGGAGGCCGCTGGGACCAGGAGAGGCTGAAAAAGCGACCCGGACCATGGCCGCAGCGACTGCGACAGCGGCGTGAAAGACGGGCTCGGGCTCCACGCCCTCGGAGGAATGACCTTGGCTAATGCAGGCGCCTTCATAATGAGAAGTGGGCTCCTTTAAAGGGTTCCTTGAAGGTCTATAGGATCTATGGTAAGGGCTCCACGCCCTCGGAGGAATGACCTTGATCACACGGAATACTTAGAGGGTCGGGGGATTTAGCAAGTAGGTACTCAGTGGACTTATACGTTCCCTAGAAGCATCTCTACTTGGGATTATGATACTTATTATAAACCCTAAACTATACCTATTTAGTCCCCCGATCCGCGAAGTATGTAAGCCAACAATCTTACAAAAGACAGTGAGAACTGAAACCCCTGAGATAGAACGGCGGAGGTGCATGCTTTGAGCGAGATAGACTGAGACAAGTTTAAACAGACGGAGACCGTCAGACAAGAATCTGAAGATATTGATTTGCAGTTGAAGCTGTCACTCTACGCAATGAAGAGACAAGGGTCTGAAGCGAACTTAACGCAAAACCCCAAACCTGCCTTGGGAACTGGTATTTCCGCAACCTCTGCGTGGCTGCGCGAAGTGGCCACTGACTCGGTATCTCTCGCAGGCCCACCCCGCATAGCAGCACGCTGGGCCGCGGTCGGCATGGGTGGCTCCCTCGTTGGGGTACGGAAGATGTGACGCTTGGCCTCAGTCAGTGTGGGCTCCAGCTTTCAATCAACTAGGACGGCCAGGAACGGAATTACACACTTCCCTGCTGTGATTCTACACATGGGGGAGCTGTCCTTGACCGGTGACCCTCACGCGGATCCCTTGCGCAACAGGCAACGACAAAAAGGGATCGCAAAGTCAGAACCTCTACACTAACCATGCGGGTGCAAAGGAGCCAATCATTATTCGGTACTTGAATTCAGGACGTGAAGGCTAGTGGACAATGCTTGGGAGCATATGGCTCACAGCTATTTGGTGACTTGGACCCTGTGTGTGATTGTTCCCTACTCGACACCTACAGACTACAGCTTGAAACGGAGCTCGAGCTCAGACCGCGCCTTATCCAGGACCTGCCTGAACCAGAAGACAAAAACATGAGCGAGCCCTGCCAGTTGAATGCTGCAGTTGCTGAAAGCAATTCTGATTTTCTGGTAAACCTATTATAAAAGACAAAAGTCTCACAACGATTCAAGTCGCCAGCTCGTTTGAATGCTCGTCCTCCTCTCCATCGCTCATCGGAATGGGCCGAGGCCCCCCAAACCCTTTTTTCAGGTCTTGGTGGTGCTGGGTTTGCTTAGGGTTCTGGGGTTTAGGGTTCAGGGTAAAGGCGTTGAAGGGTATGGGTGTTACAACTGTGGACTCGCGAGGCGGGCGGTTTAGGATTTAGGGTTTAGGGGTTAAAGGTTAGGGTTTAGGGCTTCAGGGTGTGTTGAGGGCTTAGGAGTTAGGGCTTAGGGTATGAGGGCCAGTCACGTGGCTTCAAGAATCTCACGGCGACAAGGTCCTCATGAGCCGAACTGCACGGAAGACTTTGTTGACCTCTGAAAGACGCAGCTGCAGCACAGTAAAGGCCTTGGTAAGCAGAACCGGGTTTTGGTGCATATTGAACCCCATGCCCTAAAACCGAAACCCTGAAAACCTAAACCCTATAAGCCCTAAAACCTAAACCCTGAGCCCTGAAACCTAAACCCTAAGCCCCAAACCTAAGCCCTAAGCCCTAAGACCCAAACCCTTAAGCCCCCAAGCCCTAAAACCTAAATCCTTAACCCTAAGCCCCAAAGCCTCAATCCCAAAGCCCTCAGCAGCAGCTCACGCTGGGAGCATGGCGTCTTCGAGTCGTAGTCGCTCCTCTCAGCGAAGCCTTCGGCTGAGCTTGTTTTTCCCCTAGTGCTCCGGTTATGCCTACAGTAAGTAGAAGGTTAGGGTTTAGGGTTGGGGTTTAGGTGTTAGGATTTCGGGTTTAGGGTTAGAGTTTAGGTTTTAGGTTTTAGGGTTTAGGGCGCATGGGGTTCAGGGTTTCGGACTTAGGGTTCAGGGTAGTGGGGTATATATTTAGGTAACTGGAGCCCTAGGATTCGCTAACAGTCCCCAACCAGCTTTCAATAAAGCCAGTGAGATCCTCAATGGAGGGCAGGTGAGCTGTTAAAACAAAACCTGAGTTGGAGGGACCAGGAATCGCTAAATCCTATACTTTTGTACCCTTCAACCCCAAACTCTAGCGGCTACACCCGAGACCCTAAACCCTAAGCGACTTCACTGGCCTCAACCCGTACCTGGACCCCCAAAATATGTGGAGCACTAGACTTCTATATGTGCTGGGCCATTGTTTTACACTTCCGGGGGTGAAGCCAGGTACGTAGAAGAATGGATGTTGGGCCATTACTTTAAATGCTCGCGGGGGTTTAGGTAATAGACCGAATCGCTATGGAAGCTTCTCCTAAGGCCGGCTCGCGCAGTGCAGGACGGGAAAGCGCCAGTGAATCGATGCAGCGCGACCTCTGTCTAGGGAGTGCACATATGCAGTTTTATAGGTTTCGGGGTTCAGGGTTTAGGAATTTCTGGGTGCAGGCGTGCATACGGGAATATGGGTCATGGTTTAGGATTTGGGTCTGTATAGGTGCAGGCTTAGGATTTAGAGGTCGTGCTTGGAGGTTCCGGGCACTTGCTGGGGTATCTGTGCACTAGTTGGGGCTGCCCGGCTTATAACCCTACTTAGCCTCTGAATACCAAATCCTTCGATCCTGTAATTGGGGTGCAGGGGGCCGGCGCCTGAACAAACAAGGCGCAGTCAACGCTTTGAGGGCTGTGTGGCGCTTTAGGCGGCTGGGGCGGCGTGATGGGGTGCGAAGTGGAACCGGTCTGGGTGGTTAATTTCACGTATACAATGCCACGGCTTATCAAAAAAATCACACAACTTCACAACAATTTTGGAATGCGGATCCTTAAGCCCTCAAGCCCAAACTTGAGAAGATAACCTATAGAACCGTAAATTGCACTACCAGGTTCAGTGCATAGGGTATACAGGGTTTCGGGCTTAGGGTTGAAGCTTAGTTAAGCCCCTAATCAGTGAATACACCATAAACTGTGAAAGACTTCTCCCTCATGGTGTTGGGTATTGGGCCGTATTGGGGATTCTGGAGATCCCTTTGGTTGGAGCCTCCGTCTCATTCTCCAAGAACAGCTCCACGAGAAAGGAGCCTGCCAGTTGAACCAACTTAGAAAATAAAGTATCCCCTTAAAGCTGTTGGCTACTGAAGTCGTCCTCTTGATTTTCGAAAAGGTCTTTACGATTTACAGGGGTGTAAGACTAAGTTGTCATAAGACCCCTCTGTAATCCCTCTACAATCTACAGCTACATCTACCCAACAAGGACCTCATACTGAAGTTTTTCGGGCATAGCTTACGCGTCGCAAACTCCAACCACAGAATGTTGGCATGACGAGCGCCGAACCCACGAAGTCTTCCCGCTTTGGGATTTCGGGCTTTTGGGCTTTCGTCTTCGGGTCGTCGGCCGTAGGAGCTAATGTAGCAGCCGAAATAAGTACCAATACTATCTTGGGGGCTCCTTACTATTGTTATAGTATCATATACCCCAAAACCCTATATGCTGATTTTTCAGGCCCCTATATTATGCGAACTCCCTCCGCCAGCTCCTGGCCTTGCGACAGCCTTCGGCACCGCGCCACCTGACAGCTGCTCCACACGCGGAGTTACCCTGAGGGTCCGTGTACAGAAATTCGCCTCGGCCCCGGCCGAAGCGGTCAGAGGTTCCTATTCGGATTCTCCTATTCCCCACCTCTTAATCCCCTCCCCACCCCCTCCCCCCCCTAAAAAATGGAAACGTGTCGATGAGCCCCAAGGTCCGGCGGTGAATTTTCGCCTTCTCCAGTGGATTTTGGCTTTCTGTAGGCAGTCCCACCCAATTTTCTTCGCCCCCCCCTTCCCCCCCCCCCCCCCACTCCCCCTTCCCTCCCGCCCCTCCTCCGCTCGCTGACAGGTGCGAGCTTTCTGGAGTTTTCGACGACACGGGACTGCAATGTAGCATCTTTATGTGCGTCTCAGGCTTGTTTTAGACGCCCTTTCGTTGGGATAGGCGGAGTAACGTGGTTGAAAAGGCTGTGATGCTTCCCTAATCCAAGACGCCCACGAAATCCACAGCCTCAACGGCCCATACTTAAGGCATCCCGCCGCTTGCGAGAGTCTTGGTATCCAGTGTTTCGGAATGACGACACCAAAATTCGTACTGATACTACCACTACTAATACTACTCACAATCATCCTGCTTCGTGTTGCTATGAACATTACTTTTACTATAAGTGCGATTCCCACTGCTACTTTTTTCCTACAAGAGCTTGCTGCAGATAGTGGCCACTCGCCGCATGCGCGTACAGCCGGGCCGAGGCGGACGACGCGCAGCGTTTCAATTACTTTGGCCCCTGTGTACCTATACAGGAAGTACTTTAATATAAGGTCCAAATATCTACTATTTGGGGACATGGACCCGTAGTATAGTGGCCTTAGTAACTAATTCGCATGGCATTGGCTTTTGGGGTGACATTATGGTCTGAAGGAACAGTGTTTGCTTCTATAGTGCCAGTCTCTTGTAGAGTCTGTCAGTTTCGGTGGCATATGCTCCAAACTCCAAACCCTGTTCTACATATAAAGGCCCTAAACCAGGTCCGCTAGCGAACCCTGAATAAGGACACCCTGCTTGATAGTTTCTGGTTCAATCAGATCCAGAAGACAACAGCCATCGAGCTACTATTGAGCGACCTAGCCTGCGTAACTTCGCCGAAGCTCAGAATGCCTCTGGGCTTACCCAGAGGCCCCGAAGTAGTTCCTTTTCGGGATTACCCTATAGGATTCTATATACGAACTCCAAAAAGGAACTACTTTGGGGCCTTTGGGTAGGGCCCAGCAAGCCCAAGCACGAAATTCAAGCAGTGAACGCTGACTTGACACCTAGACCACAAGCCCGAGGCCTACGAACCCTAAATGACCTAAGTACCCTAAGACCTTTAAGCCCTGTATCCAGCCCCAGACCCCCGACCTTCACCTCTTTGCCCTACATCCCCAAGCATTCAGGGAACCTTTCAATCCGAAGCTCAGCAATTGGTATCTGTTTGTAGTCCTGTGAAACTACAGTGCAAAAATGTCCCATAATCGAGTTTTCAATACGCTTGTATCATAGAACCCTCAGTGTTAAGTAGTCCGCATAGAACCCTTCAGGAACCTGTTCTAGCCATGGGGGGCCCACACATTGCACCCAGCGCGAGCCTCGCACACATGCCTTGGCAGCTTCGAAGACCAAGCTTCCAGTTGACGAATTTGGGTTGAAGCAAGTTGTTTTTTATGTTTAAGAACCCTAAACCCTAAACCCTAAACCCTCAAGGGCTCAAGGGCCCTTTTCCGTCTGCAAGTAGGGTTTAGGGTTCAGGGTTCAGGATCCATTCTAGTAGGGTCTAGGGTTTAAGGTTCACGGTCCATAGGCTTTAGGGTTTAGGGTTTAGGGGCCTTAATCATAAGACCAGGTTTTGGGGTATAGACGGGACCTATGGACCTACAGCGGAGCTCAATTGCTAGCTATTGGGACTGCTTTGTCACTACGATGGTGTTGAAAGAAGCATGACGAATCTGTGATGGTGATGACTATGAATCATGAAGGAGAAGAAGACGATGTTCATTTTGATTGGACTGAAGCCTCGCCCTTTGTAATTAGGGCCATACCGAAGCCCAAAGGATCATCTTATATTCCTTCATTGGGCTTCTTAGAGAGGTGCAGGATCCAGCAACGAATCGGGTATGTCTACAAAGATGATGCCTGTGTTGACGCGCACGTGGGCTCAAAGTACGCTCTTCGAATGCCTGCTCGAAGCGGGGGTCCTGCAAACACACTTGAGAAGTGCTCCAAAATCAAAGACAAGCACCGTCAATGCAACCACTGTCTTTTGCAAAAGCCGTCAAAATCCCTTTGAATAGCCTACAAGTATGTATCTTCCATCAGCCCTGCAAAGCCATCTGAGATGCTGAACACCAAAAACCTTTCCCCCTAAACCTCAACCCTAAACCCTAAACCCTAATCAACAGTCCTCGCTGGATATTTGGCGAAAATTATTTCCGGAAGGAGCCAAGGCCGCAACTAGCAACGAAGGGCGCAGCACAGGAAGCTCTTCGGGTTCAATTTACAGTAGAAGCCCAAAAGTTAGAAACCCAATAGCCTCTATTCTCAAGAGTGCTGTATAGGGAATACCGGCGCTATTTGGCCTTAATCCGGCTTCCAACTTTATGGGGTTTACTGAGAATATTGCCGAGAGTACTAAGTCGGGGCTTTAAGATGTTGGAATTTCGGACGGTCCTCGGCTCAGAGCCCACAAGCCCCAAACTTTGAGCTAAAGCTGTTGACAAAAAACAAGAAGACCCAGATGTGCATGCACAGGCATATACATATATATATATATATATATACACAGATAGCAACCACGAAGAAGTTGAACAAAAGGATATCTATGTGACTATGTGTGTTGGGTTGGGAACCTGACAAACCTGATATCTTGAAGATCGCAGTCCCAGAGGCTCAGAGAACCAAGATCGAAGGCCACGCCGTGTCAATCCATCGCCGGCTACCACCAAAGAGTTCTCCGTCATGAACATATTCAATCTTTTCTTCTGTATTCAGTCTAAGCCTTCGGATGTTCGTCAAATTTAGGTAAAGGTTCAGGGTCTAGGACTAGAAGTTTGGGGGCTGGGAGCTGGAGTGCATGATCCCAAGGGGTCTTAAGTACCTATATGGTAGAATGTAGCATTCCTATATTGGGAATTACTATTATGATCCAGGGAAGTATCCCCCCCATAACAGTACATAGCACCCTTTGGGGGATTTAAGGAGACAGAGGTTTAGCTCACCTTTGCGAGGGCACAGGAAGCATGTGGGAGCTTCCGAAAATTAGGGGTACCTTACTTTGGGGTCCTTATTTGGGGTACCATATCAGGGTTCCCTATTTTCGGAACTCCCACATAGTACCGTAGCATTGTGACATGCACTGGCCTGGCAAAGCTCAAAGTCAGCTGAGCTGGTTGAGCCATAACGGCGTGTAGGCTGGGCGAGTTTTTCCGCGCGAGGGTGTACTCGAAGGTTCGTGGTTTAGGGTGCTAGCATGTGTTGCTGCGAAATTATCGGAACAGGAAATTAGGCTTCCTTTCAGATCCCGTCGCATGGCATCCTTTGCGCCCCTATGGAAACCCCTGCACATTTCGGAAGCACGACAGTGGGTGCCCAGTTTCAGGAGCATCTCGCAAATCGTTTCATGCAGAAATCTACAGACTACACGTAAACTCTAAAGCCCAAGTCAACTTGAATTGGAGGGTGGGCTGCACGGCTCGTATAGAGTGGGGGGTACAGACCATGTACAGATTACTGGTGCTACCAGACCCTTTCAGACGAAGCTTGTCCCAAAGCCTTGCACACCGTGCTTGGCAAACATTCAACCATGCGTAGGTGTACGGTTGTTGATATAAAGCTCGCATTACCTTAATGACCCTACACTATGGGGATTATGGTATATCCCTTATTATGGACATAAAGTAGGGTATATATCATCAACCTTATGGATCCAGAGCCCGAACTCCCAAAAACATTGGGGCACGTGGGATACGTAAAGACACCTCGATGCCTACAACTGTCTGGTGCTTCGTAGGGAATGGCGGGGATGGATCCCTATAGTAGTCCCTATATGATCCCCAATAATAGTCCGTATAATCCACCCTAAACCCTATAGACCCCAAACCCTAATCCCTAAACCCTAACCCCTAATCCCTAAACCCTAATCCCTAGACATAGCCCATTCCCCCATACCCTACTAAGAACCAGACAGATAACTTCGTAGGAACATCCATGAAACCTGTAAGACTCACCCTTCGAGCACTTACGCTGGGGCAGCTGTGCCGGGTCCTGCTGATCTGGCACCACCTGCGGCGCCCCGATGGTCTTGTTCTATTTGGGAGTTGCCGAAAATAGGGGTACATTATTGTGGGGTCCTTATAATAGGGAACCGATCATTTAGGGTACCATTTTGGGGTCCCCTATTTTCGGAAAATTTCATTGGTCTATTTGGGCGGTTGTCAAAATTAGGTCCCATTTCGGCCCCTTAATGTAGCACAGCACCTACTATTTAGGGTACCCAGAAGGGGACCCTATTTTTGATAACCACCCATTTAGGCTTCAGGTTCTGCCTGTCCAGTAACCCGTGCTCCTTCTACACCTATATGAGCAAGATATGGGCTTTGATGATACTCCAACTCCTCAACCCTGAACCCGTAATTAGCCCACTGAAGGGTAGCCCACTAACTCTGCAGTTCAGCACTCCAGAATTCCGGTGTGTGGGGCTTACGCTTTCAGGGGGCCTTGGGACTGAGGTTGTCGGATCCTCCGCTTTCTTAACGTCTAGGGTTTAGGGTTTAGATTGAAGCCGTAGGGTTTGGGATGTAAGGCTCAGGCTTGAGCAGGTGTCCAAAGACGGAAGCAATACCCGTTAATTAAGGAATATAGCTAAAATCGTAATATGTAGCCCTATAGAATTTAAGCCGTATTCCTTAATCACAAGGGGGGTATACGGCTCTCTGGGAAGCTTGGGGTTAAGGACTTATGGGATTTCGATTTCAGGATGAAGGGCCTCATGGTTCTAGGCCAGGTGAAGCTTGAGCCCAATCCCTAAGGGTCCCGGTACCTAATGATCATATACTCTCCCAATATAGTAACCTTCATAACTACCATCCAAAATTAAAGCACCCATTTATTGCGTCCTTTGGGCCCTTAGGGAATTCCTTGAGTGCAGCCTGAAGAAAAGCGCTGGATTTCAGCATGCGCATGACTTCCAATGCGCAGTCGAAAGGCCACGGATACGATTGAACATTCTTCGCACTCCAATGCGATAGCTGGACGCTCGCAACTGGCAATGCCTGCAGGAACATCTTAAACCCCAAACCTATCCCTAAACCCCGGACCCAAAATTCATCGCTAGCACCCGCCACCATGGTACAACTTGCTGCGAAGCACGACGCCCGAATCCCAAACCGTCTACACTCTACCTGAAGTGTCACGTCCTACCCCTTGTTTAGGGCATCTAGTCTTTTATGTTAGGATCGGGTAAAAAGGTAATTTTCTAAACTAGGGTTCTTTTTCGTGTGCTTCTCAAGAGGGGGCCGGACTAGGGGTGAAAAAAACACGTACCTTCTTGAGGCTTAGGATCCGTTAGATGGAAAATGAAAAGTAACCCTAAACCCTAAACCCTCTTAAAGAGGGATAGGGTACGACCCTGTAGGCAGACCCAAGACCTCTGGCAGCTGAAGGGTGCGGAGGAGACAACGGGCACAGCCCAGAAATCAGGAGGAAAGCAAGATCATTCATAATCTATCTGCGTTTTGGTAGCTTTTTGTAGCTGTAATCGCAAGAATAATAAGGGACATTATTATTCATGCTATTATTCTTATTATTGTTATTATTCTTATTATTTTAGTATTATATACATGTATAAATTCACATATATTCTATACATTATTTATGCAGAAACATGTTCATGTCATTCATCTACGTATATCCCTGTTATACCCTGAAGGTAATGTAAGAACCTGATTAAGAAACCTTGCGCCTTTATGAGGATTCCTTATATGAATCCTACTATTTTGCGGGTTATAGGCCCAGGGTTTCTTAATCAGGTTCCCACATTAGGGCTCATAGGGTATAGGGTTTAGGATTAAGGGCTCAGGCTTTTTTTTAGGGTTAAAGGTTTAGGGTCCTGCCTACATTTTATATTACCCTTATAGATCCCTTATAGAAACCCTTATAGACCCGTTTAAAGGAACCCTAAATAGGCCCAGGGTTTCTTAATCAGGTTCCTACATTATCTTAAACCAGGCTGCTCGACCGAACAAAACCCAGAGCTCTGGATGACGGCAGCAGTCTTCGGCCACAAGTTGGATACTGCAGGGGCCTTAATAATTAGAGTACGGTTCAACGGGTCTATAAGGGCTACTATAAGGGATCGATAAGGGTACTATAGTGTAAGGGCCGTAATAATTAGAATAGGGCTTTGTGGGTGCATTATACTTATGATAAGGAACTCGCAAAATAGTATTGCTCATATTATCAAGGCCCCTATATTACAGTTCCAAATACTTCCACTGAATGGCTGCGGCTTGTCACTTTGAGCAAAACTGGTCTGTAAGATCGGACATAGTTGATGACATTGCCAATGCAATACACATAGCCTCCACCTGCCAAAACACAGTATTCGTCATTTTTTCTTTCGACCCAAACCTAGAACCCAGGTCGTAAGCTCTGCCTTGCCTTCTGGAGAAAGTCGCCGGCCGTCCGCACGCGGCTCACTGCCTGGATGTTTGAAACATCAGGTCGGACCGCGCGGCTTAGGTTTGTAGTGTTTCCAATGGCATCGTGCGGCTTCATAAGGCTAGACTTTAGGGTATCCAAACGGATTAGCTTCTGCCGACACACATAGTAAACCAGCTACTACTACTACTACTACTACTACTACTACTACTGCTACTACTACTCAAAAACCAAATACCTGAGGATCAAGTATATTGGGCCCTTAAAGCCTTTCAACATGTCCCACAAACCCGCCATAGAACCACCCTTTTCGAACAGCAATTACTTCGGGCCGCTAGGCAGACCCTGGAATGTAGCGCCTTTGAGCTACTCTATTTTAGATATCTATCTGTATAAGCTGATATACTGTATATAAATATAAATAAATATATGTATATATAGATATATACATATGTGAACATTCGAACAGATATGCGTGCACACGTACATACATAATTATACACACAAGGCATGTATACGCTGTCATAGAGCATTGCACTATGTACTACAACACCTGCATGCAGACATGCACATAAGGAGAAAATGGGGAGAATGGCTCTGAAATTTGGTACTTACATACACACGGCTGCTACAGGTACTAATTCTCTCGTTGGCTTGCTTTTAGCAGACATGCATGTGCTGCACGCATGCATGCATGCACACAGACAGACATACATACATCCACACAATCACGCATACAAGCAAACAACAACAAGCAAACAAAAATACATACATACTCGGTACTCAGTTAATTACGTGACAACGGGTGCATGTCAGGGCGTATGGCGTACAGGGTCTTGGGGCTCAGGTTCTGGAGTTTGGGTTTGGTCGTCTCCTATTGCACTTCTGTTCGTAAGCCCCCGAGCGCACGAACCCGAAACCGCAAACTTTCACATTCAGACATAATGTCCACAGCCTTGCGCTTGATGGGGCAGATGGTTGTCCGCCCCTTCTCATACAGGTATTTGTTCCTCTTGCTGCCCTCAAGCTCCCAACCAGCAGGACCAACAGCTTCTTCTGCACGCCCGAAAATAGAGCTGCTGGCTTCGTGCGAATCCCCCTCCATCACAGAGTTGTGATCACCGGGGGTGGAGGGGTGGGTGGAGGGAAGTCTTTTGAAAAGACGATCAAAAGCAGCACTTTGATACTACCTCCGTGGCTCCGGGGGTCTGACCGCCCTCGATGTATCAAAACACTCCGCCTCAAGTACATATATGGCACTCAGTCGCTAGGTCGTCGCATCCCCACAGTGACCAGCCACACCCCAAGTCCCAATAGAGAGGCCTAAATAATTCCCCATACGGTTTTTTGGGGGTTCCTTCTTCTACTTATAGTATAATATACACCAAAACCCTATTCTAATTATGAAAGCCCTCATATTACTCTCAATGCCTCAGACCCGGCCCTACCCTGAAGCATGACGTGATACTGGGGGCCTTTATTATTAACTGGAATAGGTTTCTGGGGGGTATATCATACTATACTACTATAATTCTAGTAAGGAGTCCCCGCAAATAGTGTTAGTAGTTACAATTTACAAAGGCCCCTTGGGTAAGATGGGAGTCTGCTGCCACACAGTACTGGGCACTCCAAGATCAGAAACTGCACACTCCAAGGCACCCCAACAAGCAAAGCCTTCAAGCCCTAGACCTCAAACCCCTAAACTCCCTGAGATCAAACTCCACCAAGACCAACCCTAAACTCCAAGTCTCTAGACTCTAAACCTCTAAACCCTAACCACTAAACCCTCATAAACTCTAAACCCTAAACCCCTAAACTATGCCCCTAAACCCTCATAAACTCTTAACCCCAAAACCCTAACCTCCAAACCCTCATAAACTTTATGTAAACCCTAAGCCATTCTCATCCCAGGCTGGGTTTCCGACCCGGAGAATGGACCTCCAGCCTAGGCTTCACTTGGCTGGGCTTGGGGGCGCCGGGTCTAACATTTAGGGTTCTGGCCTTCGAGGTTTCGTGCTATTTGTTTTAGGGTCTCGAGGTGATTAGAGTTTGGGCTGCTTTTGTAAAAAACATTGGCCTTAGCGGTATAGGGTTTAGGGCTATGTATAAGCTTCAATGGTTACTGTAGGGCTTAGGGCTAGTGTTTTAGGGTGTAAGGTCCAGGGTGTCCTGCTAGGTTTAGGTTTTTGGGCTGCGCTGTTTTGAGTTTTCAGGTCTGCAGGTTTAGGTGTATTGTTTGCTGTTCTGGGTTGCGGGATTTCAGTTTAGCGATCGGGGCACAGGGATCATAAACCCTCACTCGCAGACCGCAGATGCTGAACCCTAGATCTGCTACTCGAAACCGCAAAAACTTATTCACCAGACCCGAAACCCTCAGTTTGGGGCACGTTCCCTTGCGTCAGACAGTTAATGTTTCAGGAGCTGCTGATGCTTGTGAAAGGACAGTGTGTGGTGCTTGGTAGCTTCGGGCACGCTGGCCATGGGCATTGGGGTTTGCCGTTGGGAGTTTAGGCGTCTGGGATTCGGGCTTTAGTTTACGTCTAAAGGGCCATTGTCTGTTGTGGCTTGGAGTTGAGGTTCAGGTTCACCGGGTACCAACCGCAGAGCGTTGGACCCCTTTCACCCTATGCAACCTCCTCCCCACCTCGAAAGGCGGCAGAACAGAAGTGGTCTGCGGCTTGCAGTTCGGAAAAAGGATAAGCTTAAAGAAGAAACACTAAGCCCCAAACCCAAAATTCTAAGCCCTGAACCCTAAAAACCCAGAACGTGCTGCCGATGGCAAAGTACGAGGATCAGCCTCTAGGTTGCTAAGTCTCAAAGCAGGGTCTTGGGCCCTGAGGTTCATTTTTGAGACGTCACCGTCACTGTGCCACTAGCGTAAGAGTAGCCGCCATTATTGCGCTAATTACGTTTCATCCGTGGTGGCACCTCGCAAGAAGGACGAAACTAAGGTAGCCAGACAGGAAGCACAGCTGAGTGCCCAGGAAACGCTCAGCACGCCTAAAACAACCCACCCAAAGCCCGAAACCCTAAACCCTCCTAGACCCTAAAACCTCTAAACACCCTACACCCGAAACCCTCCGCCCTGAATCCAACAGGCGAAGCCGTAAACCCTAAACCGTAAACTCGAAGGCACAACCCGGAGGCCTCACAAGGTGGGATGAAGGTAGGTGGGATTAAGGATCCCTTATATAAGGACTCTTATGTGGGAATATCCCACCTGCCTTCATCCTACCTTTTGAGGCCCCCGAGCAGCCCAAGCTCAGGAAGAGGCTTCGCGTCATCTCTTCCTTGGACTTGCTCAGCTTCTCGGCCTCTCGCCGTTCCATCTCGTCCTTCGGGTGGGCAGTTCTCCAACGTAGGGTCCCTTTTCTTTGGGTTCCTTAAAGGGCTCTGTAAGGGTTTCTATAGAGTTCTGTAAGGGTACTATAAGGATAGCTCTCGAAAGTTGGGTCGCTTCTTAGGTGCCCAAAAGAGTACGGCACCCTTATAAAGACGACCGAAGAGGGGACCCTAATTTAGAGAACGACTCAAGCGGAGAGGAAGCTTCGGGGCTATAGGAAGCTTGAGGATTCCTGGCTTGGGAGTTTGGGCTTCAGGGTATAAAGTAGTAGAGGGGCGTTAGTAATTAGAGTAGGGTTCCTTTAAAGGGTCCTTTAAGGGATATACTATAAGGGCTCTCTAAGGGATTCAGGGAGCTTGGGGAGTCAGGGTTGAAACTACCTGTCTACGATGCAAGGTTGTACATGCAGAATGTATGCACGCTTGCTGCAGTGCATTCGACAAACCCAAAAAGGAGGTTGGTAGTAGCAAGCAAGAGAGCAGGCAGGTGTCAGCCAGCGAGCAAGCTAGCAAGCAACCAAGCAAGTGGGCAGGTAGGTTGGTAGGTACTAACTACTAGTCAGCTTTTGACTGTGGCTGACTGACTAGCTAGCAAGCTGACAAGCTAGCTTGCAAACAGACATTCAGACTTACAGGCAGACAGACATACAGGCATGCCGACATGCACAAACACACAGACATGAAGACATGCATTCAGACATACATGCAATCGATGCCAAACTTTTTCCCCGGTGGCTGACTTAGAGGTCGCCATGAGGGTGGACACGCTTCCAGGGACCCAAGGCCTATGTGCCTTCGGTTGCAAAGACAAGCCTGATTGAACCTGTAGCCTTTTCGCATTCGGTCATCTGGGTCATCCAGTTTAGTCCTAACCATGGGTCTCTGCAAGCGGAGAGTTCTGCGAAGGGCTCGGGGTAGTTGTCTTCTGCACAAGGAGGTCTACCTCAAGCAGCTCGTGGGCTAGGTTGGCCTCCTTGGCATCGTGTGCCTCTTGAATCAACTGTCGCCCCTGACGCAGGAGCTGCAGCGCGTAGACCTCATCTTCTGCTCCCGACCGCAACAGGAGCTTTCCGGCCCGGCTCATCACAAGCCTGGGTTGCTCTTGGGCTTGGTAAAAAGGCTTCATAAGCGTTTGAGAGGGCTTTAATAGGGTGTGCGGGGGGTGTTTTCCATTCTAGAGGAGGTGAGTCTAAGAAGGGAATGCTTTGTTGTCGTTTAAAGATTCAGTGGCTGTGCAACTGTTGGCCAGGCGGTTCGTCGAGGCATCTTGAAAACTTTCATGCTTGTTGCTATAACAAAACATGTATCTAACATATGCATGTGCATATAACATATATATATATATATATATGTATGAAGAGCAAAGGAGAGAGACAGAGAGAGAGAGAGAGAGAGCGAGAAAGACCTATTTGTGTTACACACACACACACACACACGCCAAATTAGAGAAGACAAAGATTCGTAAAAATCGCCAAGTAGCCCTGCATTGCCGTCTCGGTCTTGGCCGCGGCTTTGGAGGTTTTGCATCGCATCTTCAATTGGCGACCGCAGGGTGGACAAGTCCACCCCGGGTGACTGCTCCTGTATGTCCTTAGCTTTAGGGATCTTTGGGTGTATAGGCTTTCAGCCCCATTAAGGATTTAACCTGTCAGCCCTTAGCTTTAGGGATTTAGGACCTGGCTCGTGCAGCTGCAGGAATTCACCAGTTTTCACCTTCCGATCTGAACCTTAAACGCCCTGACCCCAACAGGGACTCTTGAAGGAACCGTCAAAGCCCGTTACAAGCATCAGTATTCCTATGGGAACCCTGAAATCTGAGACCCTGTCAAACCCCAAAAGCCACTGTACAAGGAAGGAGGATCCATAGCCATCTCCAAGCACTCGAAGAGTGGCGTTGTATGCACAGAGTCGCATCGAGCATGGACCTCGAAAGCTTCCCGTAGTGCCTGGCAGCTTGTGCGTCAGGGCTACGGACTCTCAGCTCAACAGCATCTAAAGGGCTCAGGGACAGTAGCATTTATGGTGTAAGGAATCCTACACCGAAAGAACTCCTGAAACCAAAGCCCTCCCAAAACCTAGATACCTGCCAAGACCCCCCAAGTGCCCTTGGATAGAACCCAGATGGTCCTTGATAGTGAATATTAGGGGTACAATACCTATGGTCTCCATTGTAATTCCTTTTCTGGGTTACCTTATAAGATCCTCAATATACATATGGTTAAACCCTAGAAAGGAACCACAATGGAGACTGTATGTAGAGGTCCAGCTGTTCCCTGCAACCTAAAGCCTGGCCCACGAGCCTCAAAGGCCTCCGAATGCCTGCGCTCCTGAGGGGGTGCTGTCGGGTTTTTGTCCCCAAAGGGTCCTAACGGTTGATGATATAAATCCTGCATTACCTTAAGGACTCTAAACTATGGGAATTATGGTATATTCCTTATTATGGGTAATGCAGGACTTATATCATCAACCTAAGTACCTGTAGGGTAGAATGTAGGGTTTCTATATTAGGAAGAACTATTATGATCCAGGGAAGTATCCCCCCTAACAGTACATAGGACGCTTTGGGGGCCGCTTTGAAGATTATGGGCTTGTTTTAGAAAAATGCGGGCTCTATGAGGCTCGGTCTTCGTGTGAGTTTAGCGTTTGGGATTCACGTTTTAGGGTTGAAGCCTGGTTGAGGCTACTTCGGAGCATGAGCACGGCCCTAAGGACTCAGATTTGAAGTCATTTGGGCCCAAAGACCGGATTACATAAGGCTTTTGGGCTAGTTAGACTCAGGGTAACTAGAGGCTTCAAACCTGTGGCACTATGTTCAAGATGCTTCTCTCTGCATTTACATGCTTGAACGTGCTTCCGAAACGCACTCCAAACCGCCCCTCGCACATTTCAAGGAACATAGTCCTCAAACACACAACCAGAAGCCCTATAGAGCTAACAGCAGATTCGATTCCTGCCGTTAGCGGTACTGGGCTCCTTAAAAGTAACCCCGAAACCCCCAAACCCTAAACCCCAAAAACCTAAGCCCTAAACCCTCAACCCAAAACCCCAAAACCCCAAACCCTCAACCCTAAACCCCCAAACCCCTAAACCCTAAACCCTAATCCCTCAACCCAAAACCCCAAAACCCTAAACCCTCAACCCTAAACGCACAAAACCCCGAAACCCTCAACCGAATCAGCTCCTTCTGCAGTGCTTTCGCCAATCCCTCGGCAGCACCGCAGAAGAGAGGGCTCGAGCGTCCCACCGTTGCGGCGTAAAGGGAGTAGGCCTTCTGGTACTCTTCCTCAGCCAGGACCCTCCTTGCACCCTGAAATAGGGGTATGTGGTCCCAAATACTGGGAATTGCACGGTCTCATAAAGGGGTGGTTGTCAAAACTAGGGTCCCTGTTTGGGTCCAGAATGAAGTACGGCACCTAATAATTTAGGGTACCCCAAAATGGACCATAATTTTGACAACCACCCAAAGGGTAGATGAAGGGATGGGTGGAGGAAGCAGAGTGACATAGCTCTTCCCTACAATCCTACAGTCCGACAACAGCCTGGCAAATCTACCCAAAGCACTCCGGTATCTTACGCCCAAGGAGAGCTGCACATATAGGCCACACTGGCCTCAATGACCCGAAGCGCTTCCTTTGTCACCCACAGGTCACCAACAAGCCAAGCTTCCGCTGCTTCTCCAGGCCGTCCCATGTCGTGAAGGCAGCCGCCCAGCGAGGAGTGCAGCTTGGCGATGGTCACCGGTTGGTCGGGTTCTTGCTCCTGGCATCCCGAAAAGGGTTCCAGGGAGCCCCTGGAAATGTTCGGACTTACGGAAAGTATGTGTGTAGGGTTTCATGGGCTTAGGAGAAAGTGTTGGGTACAGGTGCTTTGGTCTCTTGCTCTTGGGGGGGGCGGGGGGTTAGGGTTTTGTGGCGTTTTGCTGCATGCATTTAGGGGGAGAGTTGTGGGTTCCACGTGTTGCATCTCTTTTTAGCCTACGAGCCGTAGGCCCTGATGCCCCCTAAACCCTGTAGCCTAAGACCTAAACCATCTCCGCAAGAAACCCGAGCGGCCTGGAACTCTGCCAGGGCCTGTCGAAGCATCGGCAGTGCCTCGTCGTATCTTCCCATGTTCCTTTGCGGCTGATAAACCCTACCCCTAAACCTTAAAACCTAGACTCCAAAACCATGAAACCTTAACCTCTAAACCGTATACAGTTCAAGCTTCAGCTTAAGTTTAAGAGTTCGAAGCATCCGGGCTTCCTGAAGTTATGTTGACTCATTGACAGAGGGTTGGCTGCTCAGGTTAACGCTACAAAGCAGTTCCAATCACCGCCCTGGCTCTTCTTACAGATGGCCAGATTCCAAACATCCTCCTGCAGGGTGATGCCAGCGAGGTCAAGGAAGAACGTTAACACCCAAAAGCAGAACATCGATGATGGTTTTTAGGAGTTTACGTGCAAAGACTGAGGGCTTAAGGTCCGCCCCAACTCACTTCTATGCATGTTAATCCAACTAGGTTATCAGTCTCTAGATTATCCAGGATCCCATGTTAGTGGCAGATGTTGTGCCCTAAACCCCAAGCCTTAAACCCTAAGTCATCAAAATTCGGGGCCCGTTCCAAGCCAAGGCTACCTCTGGGAATGATTATAGCTCGTAGGGTGCTTAAATCATGGGCTCCCTGCCTGGGTTAGGGCTTTTTTTCTGGGTCTTAACTTTTTTTGTTGGAGGGGGGGGTGTTGTAATCAAGTTGAACACCTCAGTAACTATCGAACCTAACCAGGACGAAACCCTGCTCCGGCATCCTTGTCCGGTGTGCCTCCTTTCCTTAGGTTGACTGGGACAATGCACTAGATCCTAAACCAAAAAGCCTTCTAAGGTGTAGGTTCCGATAGTACTCCTACATCCTGACATCCTTGTATTTCGACCCGCCTCATACTCCAGAGCCTGAAATCGTTCTTCCGCGGCTGGTTTCTCGATTGCCGGAACGACCAAAAAGAGACCGTTTCAGAATG